CTGATTTCACTTATATATGTCAGAAAGCAAGAAAAAGCAGAACACATTCACATAATTGGAGCAATATCTGTTTATTTCGTAACCAACTAATCTAAAAAAAATATAAACTTCATGAAAGTGCAGCTGAGCTCAACTTCAGCTGATATCACTTCTACACTATACACAGAATTTCTACACTATACACAGAATTTTGTGGCCTAAAGTCAAAATCAGCTATTTCCTGATATTCAGTTTATGACTTTAGTTCATTTTCAAGGGTTTAAACTGTTTTGTAAAAATAAAAAGTAGCAATAAGCACCTATAACACATTTATATGATAGTAGAAACAGAAAAGTGCATTTTTCCACAGCTGACCTACAATAAGCAGATTATGCAATTGCAGCTGATTTTCTAACAAGAGAAAAGTTAAACTTTTGCTGGTGTCATTTTCAGCCCCATAGTTATGAATATATGTTTGTTAGTGACCTCTCAATCACCCTTTTCCTCTTCCCGTTTCCCTTCCCCCCCACCCCACTCTTTCATTTGTCCTTACCCTCTCCCTGCCTCCCTCTCACACTCATGCACACACACACATACACAGCCACACACACCTGCTCGACGATCCAGGAGCGCAGTCTGCGAGTGGAGCGCATTCTCCCAGCTGCCATCGCTGCTTCTTTAAAAATGCTGAAAACACCGCAAAGTTTCAGGGCCAGCGGCAAAACATCAACACAAACAACTACGATCAACTGCCCCGACATGCCCTCTTACACCCACCCCGCCTCACATTTTTTAATAATAGCACAGCTTCACTCTGGGAACATCAAAAACATCCAATATTAGACATAAGAAATGTGTAAAAATATGAATAAACGTCGATTTGCTTTCGCGTAAAAAGCCAAGTTCAAGCCTCGTGTTCAAGCCGGGTCTTTAAACAGAGCCGACACACATTAAAAAAAGAAAAGAAAAGAAAGACAGACAAAAACTTTCTAAATTTAGGTCTTTTTTAAATGGAGTCTGGTCTGGAAACAACAAAGCAGCTGCAAACATCCTCCCACCGCCGCATGTTATATTTATAAAAAATCAAATATAGACGCTAAGGTGTTAAATTAAGGAAGTTGATTTAAGTTTCGTTTACCTCGGTTGTGTTTCCTCCGCGGTGCCTGCGGACTGACTGTCTTCTCCTCTTCAGTTCTGCGGCTCAGTCTATGAAGGCGCTCCTTTTCCCCGAAGTCACGTGGTTTTAGAGAAAGGCTCTGCTAGCCTGACACCAGGGGGCGAAAGTGAGCACACACAGAGACAGTCAGGTCCCTGAGTATGTGCACAGTGGAGATGTGACTGAATGACTGAAGTGCAGACTTTCACCTTTCATTCAAGGGGATTGTAATAAATATTCCATTACCTGTTTAGGAATGACATTCAAAGGCTCTAAAATAATTGGACGATAAGTAAGAAGCAGATTCATGGCCAGGTAAGGCCTTGTTCCTCATTGCTGCATGACAAATAAAGCAGATATATGAGCTGGAAATGAACTAACCAGCCAGGAACACGCAAATATCCAATCAGCCAATCACGTGGCAGCAGCTCGGTGCATTTGGGCATGTGGACACAGCCAAGACAACCTGCTGAAGTTCAAACCAAGCATCAGATCAATAAAGAAAGGTGATTTAAGTGACTTTGAATGCGGCATGATTGTTAGCGTGAGTATTTCAGAAACTGCTCATGTGATGGGATTTTATCACATAACCATCTCTAGTGCTTACAGAAAATGATCCAAACAAGGGAAAATATCCAGTGGGCGGCAGTTATCTGGATGAAAATGTTATGTTTATGACAGACGTAACACACCATGTCACAAATGTCAGATCATCTCAAGCTGGTTTCTTGAACATGACAATGAGTTCACTCTACCCAGTGACCTCCACATGCACCAGACCTCAGTCCATTAGAGCAACTCTGGTATGTGGTGGAACAGGAGATTCACATCACAGCAGCCTAGAAAGCTGCAGCTGCTGTGATGCTATCTTGTCAATAAGGGCTAAAGTCTCTGAAGCATGTTTCCAGCAAGTTGTTGAATCTAAACCATGAAAAAGCAAGTATTAGCAAATTACTGGCAAGTTGTACTTAATAAAATGTCCAGTGAGTGTATATTTAGATTGATGTTTGTGTAACTTGTCCAGACAGTCAAACAGTTATACAAGAGTGTAGTTAAAGGTCCTTAGATCTTCTTTTAACTTGTCACCATAAGCGTAAGTTTCTACCTTGTAATAGGAATATTCTTTCTGGGTCAAAATGATGTGATAGTATTCATAAGGAATATGTTTGACATGTTTTTGGCAGATTGCAGGCCAACGAGTCATTTTTTGGCAGAGGCAGTGCAATGCCTCAGGAAATGTTCTGCTGGGAATTTGAGTCCTGCCAACAAAGTGAATGTTATTTTGACACTTTCCACCTACCTAAGCAGTGTTTAGGGTCATGTTCATCCACAATCATCATGGAAACAGTATTCCCCGATGGCTGTGGTCCAGAGGTGTGGACTCGAGTCACATGACTTGGACTCGAGTCAGACTCGAGTCATTAATTTTACGACTTTAGACTTGACTTGAAAAAATGTTCTAAGACTTGTGACTTGACTCGGACTTTTACACCAGTGACTTGAGACTAGACTCTGACTTGCCTGACATTACTTGAGACTTGACTTGAGACTAGAGGATAAAGACTTGAGACTTACTTGAGACTTGCAAAACAATGACTTGGTCCCACCTCTGCTGTGGTCTCTTTCAGCATTGTAACTGCTACAAAGCAAAAAATGGTTCAGGAATGGCTCGAGAAGCACAGCAACAAGTTTGAGGTGTTGACTCGACTTCCAAATTTCCCAGATCTCGATCCAATCAGGTACGTGTGGGACGTGCTGGACAAAAAAGTCCGATCCATGGACTGAACAGTTGGTAGCAACATGGGGACCAACACAATATTAAGCAGGTGATCATAATGTTACACCGGATCAATATATATATATACTAACAGCAGAGATTCTATAAATGTTCAATGATGTTTTTTTGACTGAATGATTAATTTATTCTTTATTCTTGTGCCTTTTTTCCTTACCTTCAGGTACTTTTAATAAGAAAATACTAAATCTCCAAACCATCAATTCACTGTAGTGTGTTTAAATTCAAGTAAATGTTCTTTAAACCCTCTGAATGGTTATCCTTATCCTTAAAGTAAAACAAATGAATCTCACTGAAATACAATCACAGAATAATAACTAACATAAGATGTACTTTACATTTTAAATTTAAAAAGTTCTTTTTTGTGTGAACTTAAAGTTTTAGCTTGGACTTTTTTCTTTGATACAGAATTAATTAAATGTTTTATTTGCTAACAGTTTTGCTTTTGCCTACAGGGTTTCTAAGTAGCGGTGCTGATGCATTCGGGAAAAAGAGGAAATCTCCTCTCCTTACACAAGTTTGTATCATTTCTTTACACTAACCTGTAATCTTATTGTTCACAAATGTAACATTTAAATTCTCATTAAAAACAACACTTTAAAAGTCACATCAGTAACTCCACTTTTGTTAAAATAATCATTCTATTTATTGAGATGATTTTCAACCTCATATCCATCCATCGGTTATAAAGCAGAAAAAACTAGAAACTCTCAGACAAAATGTTAAAGATTGAAAAAACAAAAACCCCCCCCAAAAAACCATTTTGGTTAATAAACGTACATTTATTCTGAAACAGACGTTTCCATTTTTTTAACTTGATAAATCAAACAGAGTTTATTACATCAAGAGCCAGCTCCACACCACAAATTATTTCCTTTCAAATCTTAAAATTTGTGCATCACTGCTACCTAAAAGGCATCAGACGTGAGAGCAAAAGAAAATCACAAATGAATGATTTTTTTAAAAACCCATTCCAAAGGTTTATCTCCTTCAAAATAAAACAACAAATTTCCAATACATTTAAAATAAAATAAACATGCTAATTAAAAACAGTCTGAATATAGAGAGGTGTACTACAAAGAGATAAACTGGTTAGTTGGGCATGGCGAGCTTTAAGTCAGAGCTTTCACTGTGATGAAGGTGGATCTCTTAAATGAACGTGAACCCTCAAAGTGCTTTTTACTACAAGCCTCATTCACTTCAAGCACACATATTCATACAGCGCTTTTATTCTAACACACACACACACACACACACACATACACACACACACACACACACACACACACACACACACACACACACCACACACACACCTACCTGCTCTACCTCAGTGACCACAGGCTCAGTTTAACCTGCTAGATCACCATGGTAACTAATGCTTAAGGCAACCTGGTCCTGTTCTATGGAAAGCAGGACTCTGCTTATGGAGTCAACGTCAGCTCTAAACCTTGCTGTTCTTACAGGGCTACATCGCCATGGTAATTTATGCTGCAGCTACACCAAAGCACATATGAAATCACCTGAAACAGTGCATCCATTCCCCGTGGAGCTCAGTGGTTTTAGTGACAGTATAAATAATAAGCATCAATCATTAAATGCAGATTTTTAGGAGAAACTTTATTTGTAGCTTTTTTTCCTCAGTTTCCTGGAGTTTTACAGCAGTTTTATTATTCTGTATTCAGTCTGAATTAAACGACAAAGCCTGTTGAATTAATGGAATATTTATATTTCATTTATATTTATTGTATCCCGATGATGGAGCATTACTGAGTCTGTTTTCTGTGTTTAACCTGTTCATATTTCTCTAAGATTACAGCTTTAGTTTCCTTCATATGATCAGCTGCTGTGCTGCCAGTTTTCAGACCGCGATCGGTGCTACAAACTGTCTGGTTTGATCATTCGAGAAGAAGCTCTCATCTGCTACTGTCACGTTAAAATTGAGGTTTTCTAGGCAAGGCTAAAAGCTTTCTGTGGCACTCATCTTTGGCTTCATTTTCTTTTAAAATATATCATTCATCTCTCAGTGACCTCTGATTGACGTAAATGGCATTCAATCATCTTGTGAAATAATGCGTCAAACACCACCTTTAATGTGAGCCCAGACCAGAAAGCTTCCATTAACAGAGAAAGTTGAGAAGCAGCAGTTATCTCTCACTGGGAGTTTAGGTTTTGTCAAGCCAGCTAAAGCGGAGAAAGCCCAGCTTTGTTGAGCTTGCTTCACAGTACACTCCTCTGATGTGGATCTGGGTGGAAAAAAGTCTGGAAGTCTTCATTTGTTTCGAGGAACTTTTTCTCCAAGAGGAACCTCCATCAGTTTCTGTGGGGAGAACAGAAATCAGCTACATGATCTCAACCAATTAAGAAAGAGTAATTATTTGTAAAGGTTTCTGTGGAGAGTGGCAGTGAACAGCAGAAGAAACATATGACTTGCTTTGACAGGCAGTTTCCTTAAATTCATTTCTGCTTTCTTTTTAAGGACAGATGCCGTGTGACTCCCCGTGATCACATATTTTTAGTAACTTTGTGTCCATGTTGGAGTTTGTTTTGAATTTTTAAGAGTCATATTTTTATTCCGGTGTTTTGTTTTTACTTGCTAAAGCGTATTGTACCTTTGAATTCTATTTTATCATGTTTTGGTTTTTTAAATATACTTTTTCCAAGATTTATTTTTTATATTTTTAGTGGCTCCTAATGTTTTTCACATTGTTAGTGTACTTAAAGATGATTGTAGTAATTTTTATTGGTTAATCAATGTTTTAAATACATAAAATAATGCTGGATGTTTTATTATTGTAGCTGATTTTAATTTTTCTTGGTCATCTGTAATTTTATTTTACTGTCAACGTTTTATAAATAAACTTGATTTTAGCCTCATTCACTCATATTCATTCATTTATTTATTTGATGTATTTTTTTTATATGAATTATAAGTTAAGTTTGATGGATTTTTTCTGGTTCTCTTATAAGCTATTTTCAAATCAGCTATGTTTATCTAGCATTGCATTACATATATACTTTATATTTAATTATATTTTCTCACACTGTATTTATACTATCTTTACTTTCCATCCAACCGGACTTGGCGGACACCGAGTCGTTCCCAAGCTAGCCAACAGAGATGATCTGTGCAGCTGGTCCTGGGTCCGGCCCTGGGGCGTCCTCCTGGTAGGGCATGCTCAAACCGAGCTCCTCATTCTGTCTCTATGGAGAGCCCTCATTCTTTCAGTCACTACCCAGAGATAATGACCGTAGGTTAGGGTAGAAATTTTTATTTTAATTATTTTTTTAAATCCCCTTTTTCTCTTTTCTTTTAGTTGTTATTGCATTTATTGACATTCTCAGAGTAATTATAGGTCATTTTTTGGTTTGGTCATCATTTCTTTATTTTCCCCTGAATTATCCAAAGTGCCCAGTCCTACTGAACTCTCTTTGTCTGTGTGCATGAATACATTCATCGGCGTCCCACCTTGAGCAGTCGAACTTGGTAAGCGTTGTCCTCCTCGCCCTCTCCTCGCTGTACGTCCACCTGGTACCTCTCACAGGCCCGAATCACCTCGTTGAGGTCGTAGATCAGAGCCGGGTCCAGAGAGTGAGCGTTTATCAGGCTCACCAGGTACTCCCTGTAGTGCTTACTGTGGGAACACACATGAATCTTAGAAGTTATCTTCATCAAAGGAGGCACAGATTCACCTGCAATATTTGATTTTGATTTTTAGGCGGTGTGTTGGAAACGACTTCACTCAGCTACAACCTGAACAATCCCAGTATTGACTCTGTGTTGGGTCTCGACCAACATGTGAGGAAACTATCTGACCACCACTTTACTCACAAGCTGCCGTTCAGCTGAGTCTGCTTGAGCAGGCAGTGCAGAGTGGCCCTTTTCTTTGGAAACTGCTGCCACAAATGTTGCCGTGACAGTGAACCTAAACAGTTCAAACTGGTGTGTCTTCTTGCCTGACCTGATTTACTCTCTGAATCACACACTCTGGGTTTTAAAAGGAAAAAGCTGATGTTAGCCAGTTCCTGGCAGCTCTGAGCAGATACCTGGTGTGGTGATGAATTCTTTTACGGCGTCTTTGTTCCTGAACTCGTCTCAGTTTACCGTCTTCTAATGAGATTACAGTAAATCAGTCGCTCCAGGCTTTAAATCTCATTTTGTTTCTCTTTAAACTTTGGTATGTATTGGAATTTGTAAAATGTTTCAGTGTTGGGGAGGACCTGCGTACGTAGTGGTTCATCTGAATAGGCTGAAGTGACTGAATAATGCAAGAAAAGAAATTCCAGCATCATCCTGTCTTTCCGGATCTGCTGGATTTCTTGAATGTGAACCCTGATAATCTCTCTGACAGAAGTTAAGACGTTTCTGCACCTGTGTGTATGATTTATCGCCGTCTCAAATGTCGCAGACTGTTTCCATAAAACAACATTAAAACTTCTTTTACGGTTGAACCTCAACTTGAACTAGAAGTTGAATTGGAAGCTTTTTAAGGACTTCATTGTTTAGCTCTATGTCATCACTCTTGGAGGGATGTTTCTGCTGCAGCAGGCAGCTGTTTTGAGCGGAAATTCTTTAAGATGTCACAACACACCACCAGCTGAACATAATGGAGCCACTGAAGAGTCACATATTTCTATCATGAGGTCAGACAGATCACAGTGGGAGCAAAAGCAAACATTACTAGCGTTTCTCCCACGTGCAAATTGCTGGTTTAAAAAGAAGATTCGACAGGAGTGGAAAAAAAACTAGCAACCAGAAAAAACCTCCAATTTGAACAAACTGGGACTTGAAGAGTGTCAGAGGTTACACGACGAGGGAGTCTTCAAGTTTTATTAAACTCTCAATGTGTGTCCCTGCTGGCTACAAACAAAGAAACGACATCTTATTCAGCCTCGGTTCCATTCATGCTAACATACTGCAGTGCTAAACGAAAAACTATAAACCAGCACACAAGTGCAAATCACAGCATAAACATTCATCCTTACAAACAGCAAACTGGGCATGAAGGGAAATAAGAGCCGCTGCCTTTGTGCTGGAGTTAGAAAAAATACACCCGATTCAATGTGATGCTTATCTCTACACATGACAAAAAATATATATATAAATCTTTAGTGCTGATTGAACCTTTATGTTTATGCTGGCCCTCAGTCTCGATCACTTCCCCCTGTGTCACAAATCACCTGTGATGCTACAAGCTTCAGGGTACGGACAAAGAAAAAATATACACTGCCTAGTAGAATAAAACCATACTCCATATATGTACAGTATACAATTATGTGTAATCAGCAGTGCTATAACATGCACATGTGACACAAGACTGAGAGCACATGCTTCTATTTGATGGGAAGCTTCACCGTCACCACTGACAGGCTTTGACTCTTTGAACACAACAGGTCAAAGCAGGACAGTATACAGGTTTTGATGAGCTGTGGAAATCACATGAGAACCGCAACCACAACAATGACAAAACATCTTCACGTGTAGAAACAACAGCAGCGCGTACAAACATATTGAGAAAGGCTAATTCCTGTTTCAACACATTCGATTAAGAGCGCTGTGAGTGGCGTTCTAATTTGAAACTTCCATCGAAGCAATTAAGATGCATGAAAAACTGTAAAAGGAAGCGGACGTGGCAACACAGATTCACTCACTCGCAGAGTCCAGCTTGTCCCGGCTGTGTTTTGATGCCACACGGTGAATCCACCTGCTGACCGCCTTCATCCTTCTGCTCCATCACACCACATTCATCTGCACCAAAAACACAAAGTCAATTAAAATGTATATAAAAACCACAAAACAACAACAACAACAAAAAGTCAGTGAATTCATGCCAGAGCTCATTTATTAAATACCACCTGCATTCCTACGCATGGACACTAGAACTAACAGCCCCTTAACAACATCACTGTCATATTACATCATTCCTAAACATCAGCTGTAACCTTTTTTGTATCCATTTAAATATTTCTTATGTCTAAACTCCTTATTTACTGAATATGAGCATCATTATCATCATTACTATGAGGGTGATGAAACACCATATGGACCAAAGTATTGAGCCACAGGTGTGTAAAATCGAACACTTCACCATGTAGTCTGCCTTTACAAACGCTTAGGAAGGAACGGCTCACTCTGAGGAGCTTGAGTGTGGTAATGCAACAGGATGCCACCACAGCAGCAAGTCGGTTTGTGAAATGTCTTCCCTCTGAAATATTACACAATCAGATTGAAGAGGAAGCATTTAGGCACCTCAGCGACTCGGCCTGGTGTCGGGCCTGACCGTTAAAGAGCGGATTACACCAAGTGCTGAGGCATAGCTGCCGAGCTGCAAACCTCCCCCGCCATTAACAGCAGCACAAACGCTGTGCACCAGCAGCTTCATAACAGCTCCTGTTTGGTGTATAGCAGGCCCAGTACTTTTATCCATGTAGCGCAGTATTTATTTACAGAGCTCAATTTTCAGATATTATCATAAACAAATACACTGCTATCGATTTTCAAAGATCTAAGAAACAGACACCCTCTCTACTTTTAAGACTAGACTCTTTTCTTTATGATAAAGCTTATAATAAGGGCTGAATCAGGTGACCCTGAACCGTCCCTTAGTGCATTGTGGGAAGTCCCTCGCACCCTGAGCCTATAAACAGCCTGATGCTATTGCAGCATGTCACTCAGTTTCTTTTCTCGGTTGTTTCTCTATGGTTGCAGCAGATGGCTGCCCTGCACTGTCTTCCTGTTTAAAGAATATTCTTCCTCCCCGCTGTCACTAAATGCTGCTCAAAGAGGATCTTACGATTGTTCTGATTGACTCTCTAATATCGTAAAGTCTATGGTAAAATATAAAACACTCCCTCACAACTATTGTTGTGAACTGGATATGCATGAATAAAGGTGAATGCATTTATTTTTCTTTTATTGCCAAAGTTTGTTTTTGTTTTGCACAAATGAGAAATGAAATGCTCAGCATCCGACTTCGCTTCTCTAAACATCCTGAAAAGCAAATTAATTTTCAGAAGTAGTTCAGTCATGCCAGGATTCCCATTAACACAAAAAAGTGTTTTACCGGTCTGAGCTCCATTAGAGGGATCCGTGTTGAACTCCACACCGCTCCTCTAAGGGCAGAAAAACAAATCAATAAACACGCTGTTTACATTTAGATCGGGGACGAGCTCATCAGATTTAAACAAACCCTCACATACCATCCACCTCTTACTTATGATTATAATAGAGCCACAAAGAGACGAGTTATTAGTGAGGATAAATCACAAAATGTGAAAACTTGTGTTGTTATTTGTCAAAAGGCCAAATCCCTGGTGACTCAAAGGGGAGGGGACACACCAAGCACAAACAAAGTTCTATTTACAACAGGACATAGGCTCTATTTACTATATCTGGCACAGTGGACTGTATGAACACAAGGACATTTTGTTTTATCCTTTACAATCAAATCATTTTTCCCTGTTTTTTCACTGCCAGTCAGTTTATCCTCCAGATGACCTTAAATATCTTCATTCCAACTCTACAAAACACAGCTGATATTACATTATTTTGTCAAAGTGCATTATATTAGAAATACATTTAGAAAATTGGATAATGTGGTTTACATTGACAGAGTACACAGAGCTGCTCAAACAATTAATAATAATTAAGCTGTAAAGGTGTAAGCTGGTTTGCGGGGAGAGCACACTAAAAAGAAAATGGACCTCTTTGAAGCCAGAAAACTATCTGTGGTTCTGTGGGACCGACACAAAGTCACAATAACACAAACGTAACTATTCCAAAACCTCTTTCTCCTGATCATCGCGAGAGCCCAAGACGAAGCATTTCCTCACCGGTCCTTTTGTTTATTCACTTCTTCTCCTCATGATTTCTTTGATAACATTCATCATCTATTAACAGCTTTACTTTCAGCATCTGTATGAAAGACGCTGCTCGACTTTACTTAAATCCCACTGGTAGTGAGGTATGAGCTGGAGTCAGGGTAAAAAAAAAAAAACGAGAAATGTTTAAATCTTGTTGTGGGAGACATTTTTTGTGTTGTTGCCTTATGTGTGCTACTAAGGGTCACTTTATAGTATGGTGTGTTTATGGGACTGTATTTAAGGTAGACACATGTAATTAGCGCCCGGTGTTATTGGTCGGAAGAAGCAAACAGATTGTGACCGCTGCGCTGTTGTGATGAATGACGTTGATAAAGAGACTGTGGAACAACAAATACAAGTGATGGCAGTGCAATAATATGTTAAACAGACAGGATGAGTACGGCTGGAGTTATTAGATTGTGACAAGTTTCATTCATAACAGTGGCGTCGTGTCACCCCTGCCAACGAACACCTCAGTGGCTTTTATATTCCAGTTCGAATATCAACGTTTTTTCTGGTTAATCTGCCCTGGATCACCTGCAGGTCATTTAATATGCTGCTGCTAGGCTCACTACTGGGTCTCACACCAGATCCACCACTCGCCGGCTTCCTGTTCCAGTGCAGCTTTAAAAAAGTGAAATTGAGCTCTTTTAAAATATTCACCTGAGGTCAGCTGACCCAGAGGCCTCCTAAAGGTCAGCTAAATCACATGTTTTGTGGCAGTTTCTGCTTTTCTGCAGTTCATACTCTGCATTTTGATTCTGTTTCCCTTACTATAAGTTTCTGCAATGCATTTCAATTCTTTAAACTCTGCATTGTCTCAGATTATTTCCTGTAAGGCGCTCTGTGATTCCTGTCAGTATGAACAAACATTTCTCGCTCGCTGTCTGCTTCAGCTCATGGCCAACTGCCATCTGCTTCAGGTAACACAGGAACTGAACCATCCCTCATGGAAAGCAACAGTTTAAAATAAAAACAATTTACTGGGTGAACAGCAGAAGAAAACACATGTGTGGTTTGTGGTTTTTAGCTCAGCTGTGAGAGGACAGGTGGAGCAGGATATTTTAGAGAGTGGAGCCAGGTGGATTCAGCGGCACAGCTGTCAGCTGATATGTAATCCACGTAGGTCGGCTGCAGCTTCCTGTACAACAATCAGCAATGCAAATAATGCAAACAATGCAAAGAAACATACATACGTGACCGTCTCACCTGTAGAAGCGCCTGTAGTCTGGGAGGCTCCCAGTCTCTAAGATAGAAGAGGCAGTCTCGAGGGTGATGAGCGTGCAAGCAATTGAGAGAGCAGTCAGGCTTACATTTAGTCTGCAAAAAAAGGAGCAGCAGGTTTTAGTCAGGTTAAAGAAAATGTTACACTTTTAACTAAAAATTGCAACACTTTAAGATGTGTAATATTTGTCTAAATATATCAGTCTTAAACCAAATTGTATGAATTTTCCAGACATTAGAAGATGAAGAATGAACCAGAGGATGTGTCCTGAAACAAATGAGACTGCAACCTGCAGCTTGTCTCATACAAAGCACATCCTCCCAACAGGCTCAGCCCTCTTTCTAGAGCTGTGATATTATGGAGAATTGGAGCTCAAGCCTACATGCCACTGATATGACAAAGAAAAAGGGGGTTGTCTACCATACAAACATTCATCCTATAATTCACCCTCACCTTGTGGTAGGGGTTGTTGCAGCCACTGCAGAACTGGTACCTGCACTGCGAGCAGCTGAAGTGCATGCAGCCGCCCTTCGTCAGAGCGTACTGGAACCTGCAGTGAGGACATGCTGCGGGAAGATGAGATAAGAGCGAAAACAGGAACAATTGGCACAGATGAAAGCACACATTCAAACTGTGTGTCTGTGTGTGGTGAGGGAAGCTGACTGATGTACAAACAGAGGAGCCAAACATGGAAATGAAACTTATGGTTGTGGTTTTAGGTCGAGTCTCTGGCAAGCCTTACTAATTCCGTTGTCTCTCAGATAGCCAGCCAGTCCCTGTCTCTGGTATTCCGGGTCATTCTCCCTCTTCCACAGTTGGAACTGCTCGCAGGACACATCCTGGTGCTGAGGTTCCCACTGTGACCAGAGAAGGGGTTAATGATTTGAGTGCTTCCTGTACTGAAGGGCTGGCAAAGTTTCAAGGTTCCATGTGGAAACTTCTGAGACCTCTTCCTTATTTTTAATCAAATGTAAGATAAGAGACAGCTCCCATGCACAACGGAAAATATTTCAGATTATACTCACAGGTTTCTTGCACTGAGCACAAAAACTCTTGTGGCAAGACAGGCATGTGACCTTCAGTTGGTCTCCCTCGTTGATAAACCCAGACGTGCACTGAGAAAGACAGGAAAGAGAAATTCAATATAGATAAAAATCCCTATTAGAAAAGGCTAAAAGATCCCTGCTTGGTTTTAAATAATCAGTAAATACACGGCTGCAGAAAATGAAGGGAAAACGGCCATTAGCAGCCCGTTCTGCTCACTGATGAGAGCATGTTCACACTGAGCACATGTGACAGGCGTCAAAGAGACAGTGTAACAAACCTGCCTGAAAAAAATAAGTAAATAAAAAAATCATCCAGCGTGCCCGGTCTGGCAGTGGCTCTGTGATTTTCTCTCCCACAATTTACAGAAATCTGAGCTGATGTGATTTTTTTTATTGATTTACTCTTAACAGGATAAGATTTCGATTTCTTTCCCCGCCAATACACCTGATGTCAGTCCATTACTAGGCCGCTGATTTGAGTGGACTCAGGAGGCTCTTTGACTTTCTAAATGAAGTCATATGTGGTGTTTTATCCATTTCAATAATGTGCTCATCCAGAAAACAGAATACAGCTGTACCAGGACTGGCTGCGTTTTTTTTAACTTGTATCATAAAACTAAACTAAAGTGCCTACAAAGGCTGAAATAACACAAAGCGTTTGTGGATGTTCAACTTTTCCTCCACACTTCATGTAAGTTAACAGGCCAATGATTATTTTCTAAAACAACAACAAAAAAACCCAACTGTAATCTACAGCACTAACATCCAAAGTTCCTAATTCCTTATTCTTTTAATGTTTTCAAGAAAATTAGTTTGTTTCTTTACTCAATCTAACTCCATATATGAATTTCAAACAACTGCTACAACTACAGGATAAAACTAGATTATTTTGACTCTGAGGTGCGTTCAAGGATTGTCTGTCCTTGTCTGGTTACACTGTCAATAAAATCCAGGCTTCAAAGACGGAGCTTAAAATAACCCAAATTATGTGTTGTATGAAAACTATGTTATGCAAATTACAGGGTGGAAATCTGATTGTTAAACGACAGGGACGAACAAGCAGACTGCGTTACGGTGAACTCACATGACAGCACCACATGAACTTGGGGTCTTTCATGAGAGCGTGCTCGGTCAGCTTTTTGTGGAACAAGTCGTACACCTCAGGCTCCAGGCAGTCCCTCAGCTGGAAAACAAAACACGACACGAGGCGTCGCCGCGTCGTTATTATAAGACGAAAAAAAGGTGCAGGTTATCTTCACACCCATCTGTAATCTGATGTGTTTTGATACTAGTTTAATGTAATTTTGTGCACTTTAAAAAAAAACATCTTCCCCCCTCTGACCACTTCACCCTGTTTAAAAATGACTATGTTGAGATAAATGCAATTATCATGCATGATTACAATCCACAGCATCTTCTAAGAATATCTTAAAGAGCTAAAAATCTGTTTACAGATCAAATTCTGTCTTAATAGCTGAAACAAAGCTCCATTCTCCCATCAACCCACAAATAACCCCAGTTTCATAATTTCTTCATAAGTACTTGTGATCACATGGAGAATCAGATGCAAACTGAAATCTTGGCCCTTGTATCTGCAGACAACACTAAAAGCCCCTGAAGTGTTCCCCACAGCCTTGCATACAGTCAGGAAAAGATGTTCAAGCTGCAGTTCGTGAGTAAATAATTATAGTACGCTTAATCTGTTTATACAGCTGTTTATATTGCACATCTGTTTAGGCTTTGGGAAATATGATTGAGATTTTGTCTGTAGTTATTTCTCACATGTAGCAGGAGACAATTCACATCAGGCATGTTGTCGTCTGTGGAAATACTCTGAGGTTTAGGCAAAGGCAGCTGGAGCTGAGAGAGGCAGGACACCCACTTTACTACTAATTCAAGCGGCCATTATCCCCTGTGCTTCTCTCACATCAACACAAAAGGACACGGCACAGACTTTGTAGCAGAGAGAGTGCAGGTCAAAGTGTTTATTATGTGATATGATGCACATGCACCTCCAACAGGAAATATCTAGAAGAGTTCAGGGCTCAGTGAACGTGTGACAACAGCTTTTCACAGGCGTGGGGAGGGAATTTGAATCCGGACTGCTGCACTAGTGCCATGTGGCACGTGGTCTCTTGCTCATCCACTGAGCTAAAGTGTTGCTCAGAAATGCCTTTTATTTCTTTAAATATGCTCTGTGTCATGTATTTGTAACAAAAATAAATGACCTGTTTAAAGATGCATCTGCTGTCTCTTGTTAAAAATCCTATTTAGGACTCTTCACGTTAACGTTTCCGGCACATTTCCTCTGAGTTCACCTGTATATCCAGCGTGGAGAAGTAGCTGTCCAGCTTCTCTGGGTCGTTGATGTCGGGTTCGCAGCAGCTGGGACACACCATGTCTCGGATGTGTTTGTCTCTCACGGCGATGGTAAAGTGGGCCTTGAAGCATTCGAGGCACACCGAGCACTGACAGGACGTTAGAGACTGCATCTGGAGTACCAAGGGGAAAAGAAAGAGACTTTAAGAGCTGTGCATTAAACATAACTGGTTGCTGCGGAAACAGATCGCTCTCCCCGATGACCCACCTTGCTGCGGGGGAAGATGCTCAGACAGATGGGGCACTCGTTGTTGAGGAGACGCCTGATAAAATCTCTGTCATGTGACTCCTTCACGGCTTGCACCACATCCTCCAGGGAGTAGCTGACACCCGGCTCTTGGAGCAGCGACAGGACGAGCTCGCAGCGCCCCCAGCTGGGCAGGTCATACAATGCCAGCAGCCGCCTGCACGTCCTCTGAAGGGAGCAAGCCAGGTCAGCACAGAGGTTTATGTTAAAATGAAAAAGATACACGTCAAAACAAAAATCTCTTTCTAGTCAAACCTGTTTGTCTGGGTGTGCGGGATCAATCGGCGGCTCGGGCTGGGCTGTCCAGATTCGCTGGTGGAAAGCTTCCAGCAGGGGGCGCTGAAGCAGAGACAAAGCCCCCTGCATCTCACCTCCACTCTGCCGCAGGGCCTCCTCGCATTGGGCCACATCTTGGAAGCCCAGAGAGTGAAGCTCCTTCATCTTCACCCAGCGGGAACAACAAAAACAAAACAATGAAACAAAGGAATCACTTTAAATGGCTGCAGTGAACATAAAAGACTCACATCAAGAGTCTTTACACTGCTGATAAACAATATTAAAAACAGGCGTTTGCTCTTAAATCAAAAGAAACAATTTTCTGTCGTAATTCACAAAATATTTGCAGTATGAAGGTTAAAAATAAAAAGAGTCGTTTCTGAGATAGAAGGAAGAAAAGTTCATACTTTCTTTTAACAATAAATATGTATTTAAAACTTTAATGTGCTTTTAATTGTCCCACCTTTTCTTTGCGGTCTCTCAGCAGCTCTCTCACGGCTTTGTCGGTTTCTCCTCCTGTTTTCAGCCACGCCAGCTTGGCCTCAGCTCTGGACAGCTTCATGCTGTCACCTATGGAGGTCGGACCGCTCTTCTCGGACTCGCCTCCGTCTCTCTCCAGCACGGGCTGCGTCCCGACACGCCCCATTTTGTAGTTCAGTTGGACTGAGGCGGCCATGGCGCAGATTTCATCCAGCAGGTGAGGCAGCTCTGAGGTCAGCCAGTCACAGGGGTTAACGTTGCTGCCACCGCACGCGCCCAGAGCGGCGTACACCTCCTCTGGGCTAATGCCTCGCTTTTCTGCTTCCTGTGAATGAGAAACATAATGCATCCTCTCTTTTCCAGTGTTTCAATTCTATAATATTGTAATTTATTTTGAAAAATGTCATTTAAATGTTTTGAGGTGAGTCTGTGTGAAACGTTTGCCATACTCTGATGTGACGGACAAGAGCGAGCCCGTCTTCTTTCATCGTCTTCTGCCTCTTCAGCTCCAGGTTGACTCGGGGCTTCGGCTGTGGCCGGTCCTTAGGTCCGCACGGCGTCTGCTGGAGAGACTGGGGCAGAGAAAGTCCACCAGAATCTTTAGGGGACATGTTGCACATCTCACACACTGTGGAGGCCTTGGTGTTAGCGAAGGTGCAGAATTGGCAGGTCCACTGCTAGAAGAAGAAAGAAAAGCATGTAAAGCAAACACTAACAAAAACTGATGACTTCAAAGGCTTTGCTGGGACACCTCCATCCTCACTTAAACTAACCTGAGTGTAATCCAAGTGAGAATGGCATTCGTGCTTTAAGTTATGTCTGACATTATGGTAATATTTTCATGTGTAGCTTAAACTTGACTTTAATGCTATAAAAAAAAGGATTAAGTCCTCCTACTATCTGTGGACAAGGTCTAGATATCTGATTGGTAGGTGGTGATTCAGGACGTCATAATGATCCTGACCATGATGATGATGACAATATGGATCCTGGTCTATTGACTAATACAAGAAAAACTGACTATATCTAGAGATAGGTACAGCTGTTAAGCTTAAGGAACAGCAGGTGTAAGACAGAGGCTACCATGTAAAACAGCGGTCCCCAGACCGGTTTAATGTCAGACAATATTTACGCCCAAGACAAAAACTGTGGTATTTTGTAAATATAATAATAAATGAGAATTCACTGTGTAATTGTGTAACTTTATTAGCAGCGTCCTCCTAAAATGCGCCAACAACATCCTCCTCTCTGGTCGCTATGGTAATATGTAAATATTTCTTTCAAAACAAGACGCACAACTACAACACGGGAAAAGACCCGGGGAAAGTGAGTTAACGATAAAAACCCTGAAACACAAATTTCACACCCGGGCCCAAACAACTCAAGTAACTGGTACCGGTCTGTGGGCCGGGGTTGGGGATCGCTGATGTAGAATGTCTTACAAACAAGGTCAAACCTAAATATATTGTACATACGATGAAACAACAACATGAGTTAGCCAAAAACATCTCAGAAACATCTAATCAGCAGAATAATTTAACAGCAAATTAATGTTTTTCATTAATCGGTCTTCTTATGAATTCTCTACTTCACTGAAAACCCAACAACAAGTGACTGTAGATAAATGTGTTCCCCGCAGAGCTAAGACTAACAGAAAAGGTTTTCATTCAGCAGGAATCTGTAGTCTCAGTCTGTGCCAACGCTCAGCACAGTAAAGACTGAGAAAATAAGAAACAGGTTAGTAGCGTTATCAGCAGCAGGAGACAAACCTTTGCGTCAGACAGAGATCTGAGGATGGACATGTCAGAGGAGACCGGAGGGCGAGTGGCCAGACGGGGGCGCTCACACACCTCGCAGAGGATGCTGCTGCCCTGATTCATCACAGTGCAGCTCTTACACTGCCACTCTGAGAGAACGAGCACCAACACAGTTCAGTTCAAATCAAATAGTTTTCAAACTTTAACATATTATGCAGAATATTTATGTAAAAACAAATGCTTCCTCCATAATAAGTTAAAGTTCGGTGCTTTTAATAAGTTAAAAGCATTTCTACTTTAACTCGAGGGCACAGGGCGTCTGAAAATTTAACTTAAGCCTTTAAGTCAACCTTAATGGCACCTTAAATAAAATTTAAGACAAAACTTCCTGAGGCTTGAACTATTCCTTTCACCACCAGGGGGCACCAGTTACCAGCTGCCCACTCATATTTAAGAGATTTCCTCTGATGTGACCTTGATGACCTCCCTAGTTTAAAAGAAAGGTGACCTTGACCCTTGGCACCCCCCTAGTGATACAACCTGGTATTACATGCAGTGCAGTGCATGAATTCTTTAACCACAAACGCATAGTGTTTGATGTTATTCTCTTGAAAGCTTTAGTTAATTTTGAAAGGTTTCAGCTCTTTTAAAATACAGAAATTTACTATAAATACCTTTAAAAAAATATTGCCTGAGTGTGTGGGCAAATAAGTCAAAAAATACTATGTTTATCTTAAGCTATATCTTAAGTTTCATTCATCCTCAAAACAGGGATTCCTGTCCTTAGTGGGAACTTCTAGGAATTGGTTTCAACCACAGAGAACAATAATAATAAATAACAATTTCCAACCATTTTTTCTTACACTTGGATCTTCCCCTTTTTCTAAAATAACAAAGAGGGTGGATAAGCAAATGAACTTTAAACTCTATAGGGCCTTTTATAAGCAAATGTGTTAATTCACAGACACCCTGTAACCTGCTGCGTGTGTAAACTTTTGCTCTTACCTGCATTCGGCGATGCAGGAAGTGACATGGTGCTTTCCAGAACAGTGGACACAGCTGTGGCGAGTCGAGGCCGTTCGCAGGTCGTGCAGAGAACGGCTCGCATCTCGTTCACTGTAGTGCAGTGAGAGCACTCCCACGGGGACAGAGACGGGCTGAAAAGCAGAGGAGAAGGACAACATTTTTTTTCAGCTCCTAACAAGAACACGTCTTCAGCTAATCTTCATTTCCTCCACAGCTGCAGATCCCCAGATGTGATAAAATACATTGTTAAGACATTTCAGGGATCTCTAGAGACCCGGGTGTTTGATTCTCAGCAAAAACTTTTGGAGTTTTGATCAAACAAAGTTGATCCTTTATTGTAACAAAGGAGATGGTGAACAAATCCAGCCTGTGTCCTTCCTGGCTTTGATCTGCTGCCAAATAAAGAGCTGAATGTGGGTTTCTCTTCTCACCTGGATGTTTTAGCAGGTGTAGTAATGGTCCTGTTGTGCCCTTTACGATCAGGGTGGGAGTGGTACAGCTTGTCGCACTTCAGACACAACCTCTGGAGGCATGTGGCGCAACGAGCATGGACAGCAGAAATTCCACAGATGGTGCAGGTGTCTGCAAGAAAAAGACGAAGAGTTAAAACAGTAAGCAAAAAAAAAAACAAGCAGAGCCGAGGTTTGACTTTTGTTTTGCAGATGTAGCTCGGCCTACTTTGTTTGGTTTGCTGTAATTTGTCCCTCTTGTGACTGGCTCTGTTGGGGTGTCGGTGGAAGAGGTCATCGCATGCGTCGCAGAAATGTGGATTGTCACATGACGAGCAAAACAGAGACGCGTCTCCGCCGCACAAACTGCACCCGCTCACTGCAGCAGAGCCTGGAGACAAACAGGAAACAGACCACATTTTTAAAACGTATCAGGTCGTTGCCATTTTTCACAAAATTTAAATACATCCTCAGATAAACAACACCACAAGATATTCCTTACATTTGACTCTAGAATACTTTGGCATACTGAAGAGTTCATGGTTTACTCAGTGTCTGCAAGATCCCAAAATCATCTCCTCTCCACCACTGTGTCATGAGGTGTTTGTGCTGATATGCTGAGTTTGGCCCACTCTGTCCAAAGGACATTGTTCCAGGAGTCCTGTGGTTTGTTTAGACGTGTTCAACTTTGCCATGTTCTTCTTAAAGAGAAGAGGCGTTCTCCTGGCAACCGTTCTAAATAAGCCATACTTGTTTTTGTTCTTAACGTAATGACGCAGTGTAATACGTGATATGGAAACTTTAGACCTGAAAGAGGGTGTACTTTTATTTTACCATAACTGCGCGTCTTCAAAAATGCTATACAAAGTTTATAAATTGCGTCGGAGCACAGCAAAGTTTCTAAAAAAGCTTCTTAACTCTGTGGCATCAAATGAAGAAGAAACTAATTTGGTTAAGAGTTAAGAAGAAAAACTGCTGGAATGAAAAAAGAAATAAAATAAAAACTCCCAGGCCATCAGGTGTGGCAGTAGCTGACCTGCTGATGGTTTTGGCACCAGAGCAGGTTTAGGAGGAAGAGGCAGGATCAGAGGTTTGTCCCCCTGCTGCTGCTGCTGCTGCTGCTGCTGCTTTTCCTCTACGGGAAGCTTAACCACAGAGTCAGTCACCATCTGAGCCTTAACAAAAATAAATAAATATCAGCATGACAAACAAAACGAACGAAGTCTGAAAAGGACAAATATTAAAAAACAGATTATCTTAATTCAGCCTGTTTTTATCTTTAATGAACTTGAATGAACTTTTCGGCCGACAGCCTTTTGAAACGTGTACACACCTTTGGGATGACGAATGGGATGATTTCTTTGAAGTGTTCTAGGTGAGGATGAGTGCCCTGAACAAACAAACATAAGAAAATGGAACATCAAAACTGCACGCACATGTTACCGATGATCAGATCTGCTTAGGAGTCGATACAAACCTTTACTATCATATCCACTTCCGTGCGTAGCGTCATGACCTCCAGCGTCACCGCTGCGACTTTTTCAGTATCCGGATCCTCGACTTCGTCGGGAAAGCTGAGGCCGTCGACCTGCTGGTTAGTGTAACCGTAGAGATAGAGGACTCTGCGGCCTCCCTGTGGACCAAAACCCACATTTCAATCCTAATCTTTTAAACAAAACTTAAAGGTTCTCAGTCAAAGTTTCTGCACAATCTTTGGACACAATGGAGTTTTTTCCTCACTTTGATGGCATCCACTGTAGTCCTGAAAACAGGATTGTTGTGCTTGACACTCCTCCAGTATCTGGGTCTGGTGGGAGAGGTCAGGTTACAGCCATACTTCTCCAGGATGCTCAAGGCTTTGATGAATCGATTCAAAGACTCCAGGACCTGGTGAGAAGAAAAATTAGTAGTGATGTTAATCAGTTTGCCTCCATTATTCCATCCAAATGAATTATTTGTGATGATTTAGTTAACAACAATGTTACAATGAATCACAGCTAGCAGATGAGGCTGGTATCAAATGCAGGTTAAAAAAGAGCTTTCATATCCTATCCTATTCATATCTCCTGTGAATTACTATGCAATACAATACAAGCATCCAGGATACTAATACTTGTTTCTGTTTCTCTATGTCATAGACATTGAAGTGATGCAGTTTTGCTGCTGAAGCTATGCTATATCCCATGATATCGATACTCAAACTTGATTACAGAAAAGAAAAATGCTCTAAACACTGACTTTATTTTAAGCTCCTGGGTGTGACATCATAGAGAGGGAAATCCCTATTCGGCCTTCTCAAAATCTTTTAAAGAGGGGTAACCAAACAGAAACAAGCTGACATAAATGGGGAGGGGCTAACAGCTCGTTTCAGACAGAGGATGAACTGTCAAGTCCCAGTGTAAAATGCATAAGGATTATTTTGAATAATGAATGATGCAAAGCTACTGTAGCAGTTTAAGATTGGAACAAATTTACTAACAGAAGCCACAGTGCTGAAGATAATTTTTCACTCCCCTGTGGATATCTTCATCTTTGTTTTCATCCAAAAAAAATCAAAGATAAGTGTCACAAAATCTTTTTTCCTTAATAAAAAAAACTGAGTAGACCTTTGGGGATCAAACAGACACAGAAATGTTACATCAAACTGCACTAAAGCGATCGTTTAAGAGAAAAGATTACCTCCTGTTTGTTACGACCTGCCGAGTTCTCCTTCAGCATAACCTCAGCTGAGACGTGGCGGTACTTCTCCGACAGAGGCAGCTCGATAGCGGCCATCGTCTGAACGTCGGCCTTCACTTCCTGAGCTGAACCCGAGGACGAAAGGAGAGACTGGGCTCTTCTCCTGGCCTCGTCCATCTGGACGGACGCAGGACTGCTGCTCATTGCTGTTAGAAAGAGAAGAGAACTTTTTAGAGATCGTTCCAGGGCTTCAAAATCGAGGATCAGCTGATTTATTTGGTTTGGAAAATCACTGCAAATTCACTGTTATTTTCGGTCTGTGAGACGGTTTTTGTAAAAGAAATAACTGATTAGAGGAAAACATAAAAGTCACATTAATGTGCGGCGAGACTTAGCAAAGACTGCCAGAGGAGATCAAAAAGCTGAACTCGCAGTGTAACCTCCAAATTTCAAAATACATTAAACCTCAAAATTCCGATAGCGTTTTGTTAAGATGACCAAGACACTCAGTTTATTATTAAATATGATCTGTAAACTACTGTAATAAAGCTTTGCAGGTGTGGCTGTCTGCAGGTGGAGAGCAGGTCCCCTGCTGGTTCCAGCCACGCCTCATTCCACGTTGTTATGCAGGGACCGTTTGAGGCCTCGGGCTGTTTTCTGTCTATCTTACCCTGCTTTCCTGCAGGGTTAAAGATGTCCAGCTTATTGGTGTGTCTACTATGTCAAAGTTCAGTCATGCAGTTTTTATAGATGATTTGTATTTACCAATAACAATCAGGATAAATAAAGATAATATATAAATCATTACCACAGCATCAATATAAGGACCCAAAAATGTCAGCAGATTACTGAAATTATACAAAAGCTCTACAAAGGTTCCCCACAGAAAACTAAATCAGGAATAAGAGTGGAAAGTTGTTTCTGCCAGTGAAAAAAAACAAAAACAAAAAAAACACTTGTAAGTCAAAAATTTGGGTTAGATATTGAAATTTTGAGATAGTAAGTATTAATCTTTATTATGGTGGCAAAACAAGACTCCATACCTGAGAGCCACAAAAACAGGTATTTACTCTAAAACATCTGTAGGAACGAGGTCAAGTACTTTTCTACATAACAAATTTTAAATTGACTCTCAAAAAATGATGCTATAAAAACACCTAAAAAGTTGAGCCCTCGTCTTCACTTGAAAAATGATTTTTGAGAAGTCTAATAACAGCAGGGACCTGAACTTTCTGACCTTTCCCATAACTCCTATTATGAAGGGCATCACTCCATAGTTTCTTTTTTATTTTATTTTTTTATGTGAGCTGGTCAAATAAAAGGAATTTGATGAAATGACCCAATACACAGAAGTCAAACACAATGGTTTCATAACAGTGATTACCTGAGTTACCACCTGGTTTTTAGACGTTCTTCAACTACATAGTATTAACGCCTGATCACAACTTTTCCACGTGTTCACAGATTAAATACTTAATATACTTTAACAAATACTTATCCTTAAATTTAAAAAAAAATAGCTACGTGCAAAAATTGCAACCTTGTTTATCCTTTTAAAAATCAATCCAAAAATGACCAATCCACACTGAAAAAGGACACGAGTGGCAGAGGAAGGATAACAACAGGAAGGATCAACATTCAGGTAAATCAAACAGTCATCGGTGACCTTTATAATTGATAATTTCACTTTTAATAAACCATGTGATCTGATGGGAAAGTCCAGGCTAATCATAGTTTCAGAGGTAAACAGTTCAGTATCACATCACAGTCGCCACTTTAAATCCGCTCCCTGCTACTTTCTGTACAGTAAAACATCAAATTAACTGGACCCGACGGTGGATTTTTTTGTCACTTTGACCGTCTTGAAGTCCCAACAATAACAATTCACAGCAGCTGAAAACGAAACTCTAAAAACAGAAACTTTAACACAGCTCCATAACTTAGCTTCATATCTGATCAGTTAACTTACCGCCTCAGCTGTTCTGGCCTTCTTTTAACGGTTATTTCTGTCGCCTCTTCTCCGAATAAAGTCTTTACATTTCCGCCAGTAAAGTCAGCATGTTTTAGATTTCAAGCCAGCGGTTAGACCCTCTTCTACAGTGAGCTCCTTCAGTCTGTCTGAAGCTAGCTTTATGCTTTAAACGCGGAACTCCTCCATACTTCCGGTCTGATTGTGATCTTTTCGAAATAAAAGCGGTATTCCAGTAACAGTAGTCATGAAAATGATGAACTTTACTATGTATGTATTTATTTATTAAGCTCCCAGTTGTATCATGCCTAAAATTTTTTTAAATATTTAATTAATTATGACCAGCGACCAAATTATTAAATAATTATTTAATTAATTTTGTAAATATTTCATATTATATTTACATTTTTGTTAGTTGTGACACATTTTACCAGCTTTTTGGACAAAAAAATGTGCCTGAGTCTGGTATTTTATTATCTGTACTATCTTTGAAAAATAATCATCAGTGATGCAAATTTGTATTTTTCATTAGTTATTGCATTAATTTTCGTTGTTTAAAACTACTAAATTATTTAAAACTACTAAATTAAGAAAACCTAACAAAAAAAACATCCCCTCCACTCTCGCTGGCCACTTAATTAGTGACACCAGCTCAGCTGCTTGTTAATACTAATATCAAATGAGCCAATCATAAGGCAGTAACTCGAACTGAGCATGAGAATAGTGTAAAAGGTGGTTTCAGTGACTATGTCATGGTTGATGTTGCCAGATAAGCTGGTTTAAGAAACTGCTGATCAACTGGGATTCCCCTACAAAATCCTCTCTAAGGTTTACAGAGAATGGTCTGGAAAACAGAAAACATCCCGTCAAAGGCAGTTCTCTGGGTGAAAATGTTGATGCCAGAGGTCAGTGAAGAATGGCCAGACTGCTTAAAGTTGCTAACAAGGCAACAGTAAATCAAATAACTTCTCATTAAAGTCAAGGCATGCAGACGATCATCTCTGAACGCACAGCACATCGAACCTTGAAGCAGATATGCCACAGATCTGAAGGCAAAAGAAGGTCTAACTTGGTACTACCAGTGAGTGCCACTTTATTAGGTACAGCCACATTTTTATTTAGGTTCATTTTAAGTGAGCAAGTAATTTCCCATTTATTTTTCTTTTTTCTAAAGTATAGTTTTATTTTATTCGACTTAAAATAAATGTGTCAGCTCATAAAAACCTTTGTTTTATATATTTAATGTTTCTCAAGTTTCTTGACCAATCGAAAAAGAAGCTACTGTGCAAAGTCACGTTCATTTTAGCACAATCTTCTAGAAGAAGTATATATATTACATCCAACGTCATTCATTAATTTTGCTCTTACTCTGATGACTTGTTGACTCCTTGAACTCCATCAGCAGATTAAGCTCCTTCATACAAATACAAGACAAAAGACGCGTTCAGGATGAGGCAATGAAGATCATAACAAGTAATTACATTTTGTTTAAACCACATGACTTTTTTTCATTGGCTCAGTTTCATTTTCTTTTTCGGTTTCTTTTGTCAAAGGTCCTTTAGGGCTGTGAAAGAAATCAGCTTTATACTGTAACTGACGTGAGGCTGTATCAGTGAACCTGATCCAATTTATTGTTTATTCTACAGGCTTACACTGCACAGAAGATTAAAAGAGGCCATTTTTAAATTGACAGTATATATTTAAATTCTTAAACTCTTTAGAAATTGATTTGAAAATGTATTTATTCTAAAATCACTATTCTGCTCTGCAGACAACCGCCTTCATCTTAAATAATCCTGTAAACGCCTCTCGTGTCTGTACCGTGTAGTGGGTTGGGTTGCCATGTACAGGATATTCAAGTTTGAAAGCTGAGGCTGTGCCAGGAGAGGAGGAGGGAGTCAGTAGGAGGCGCATCCGATATCAAATCGAAAGCAAAGTGAATGAGGAAATAAAAAAATCCACAAGACAGACATATTGTCCCGTGCTGCAGCCGTCGGACTTCATTTAAACCGCTCCAGCGGATATATTTATGATAATATATTCCTGAAAAAAGTTTCTTTAGTCATGTCAAAGGCAGCGACTCTGAAAATAAGCAGCACGACTGCGGGGAAGGTAAGTCGGTGAGCTTTTGCTTTTTGGGAGTAAGCGCTCTCTGAGGAGGGCAGGTTGCAAGGGAAAGGAGCTAAACGGCTTCCCGGCGGCCTGCAGTGACTTTAAAGCGGACTTGGTGTGAGTGATGAGCCCCGGTGTGTTTGAAAGCAGTCGGTTATAGTTGAAAAGCAGCGGAAAGTCCCCCGCAGCGGGCAGGAAAACGAAAGTAAAGCTTTTCACAGACGTGAGTCAGCACTTGAACCGTGTTTTATTTGGTTTATTTAGTCTGCTCACCTTTTCTCCACAGGTGGACAACTTCCGCCAGGCTCTGTATCGGGAGGTCAGTTGACACACTGATTGCGTTAAATTAGTAAAATATTGAAATAAACCAACTTTTGTGACTTAATAATGACTTGAGGCCCCTCTTTGTGTGCGCGCGTGTGTGTTTCCAGGCAGAAACTCTCTTCTCTGACTTCATCCCTCTGAAGATCATAAAGCTGGACTCTCTGCTCAAGGTGAAGCATTTTAACTGACAGCCTCTGTGACCTTTGACCTGGGAAAACTGCTCTTCACTCTTGTCCTTGTGTTTGTCTTTTATTTGATTATTTTGTCAGGATGAGGGCTTCAGCATCACAGAAACAGCTTCTCTTAGGGCTCCTCTGGACATCCCCATACCAGACCCTCCTTCCCCCGAGGACGAGGTGAGAGCACCGCAGCCTGTCACGCTTTATCTTTCACTAAACATGGCCAACATGAATGTGTTTGAGATCACTCATTCCATATGAATGTGCTTCAGTCCACTAAAACGGTGAGAAGGCTTTTACTTTGAAAAACTGGGTCATTCGGCAACATTAATTGACCCATACACTGACACAAGAACTTGTTCCGTGCCTCTCACGCAAGGACGCTTCAACACGTAGACTTGAGGAGGCGGGGATCGAACCACCGACCTTTTGATTAGTAGACTGCTATCTGCACAGCTATGAAAAGTGCCATGGAGTTTCTAATATCCTCACTTTACTACACAGGCGTGGAAGTTAATATTTCTGGAGCTTTACACAATCACTGTGATTTGAAATGCACATGTAATAAGACATATTATTTAACTTGGGCTGTACCAACGCATGTTAAAATAAATCTGGGTTGGTATGGACAACTTTAATTGAGGCTCGTGAATTATAATATAATCATCCAGATAAGATTCAGGACGACGCTACTAATTACATTATTATAACAACTTATCTTTATAATATCATACAGAAGGAATAAGAAAAGGTCAGTTATGGTCAGAAGTTGGGATAAGTGAAGGTCGGTAACTTTTGGTTCATTTCATCTGTTTATTGAATTAAAATGAAACACCCTGAGACTCTCAGGGTGAAGCTCGGGATAACATAGTGACAGAAGCTTAGATCTCTGACAGCAGATTTGGAGGCCTGTAAAGACCCCGCTTTGCAGGTAGAGGACTGATATTTGGTTGCAGCTTGTCATATACAAGGCACATAATATTCCTTAAAACTGTTGAAATCAAGGGAACAGTTTCACAAAAATTAAGCTCAAATTTTCTGAGAAAACTATTGACATTAGAGACCAAAGCTTTGCCCTTCCAGAAATCTCAGTTATATTTTTAATATACTGAAAGTCACTTTTCTGACGTGCTCTTCACTAGTGCATTAATTGACACAGAGTCGACCGACACACTCACATCTCACTGTGACAGCTTTGACCTTTGAATGTGTCTTTATTGGCTCTGAATGAATTTTAACTGGATTAATGTGAGTGCAAATATTCAGCTTCCTCACTTGCAGGAGGAAAAAGGGGTATAGCACCTATGGAGACATCAAAACATGTGCTATGATTATCAAAAAATGACCCCACCCTGCCATGTTGCTGTGGGGTCACAGATAGGATTATAAAAGAAGGAGGAAGGCTGTGCACAAACTGTGACATCTGATTTTTCACATTTTTAATTGATTTAAGACGCCCAAATCTTTTCTCACTCTGTAAAAAAATGTCTCTCTCAGGAGATGGAGACCGACAAGAATGAAGACGACGAGAAGAAGAAGAAGAAGCGTAAGGCATTTTTGTAGTCACACATGTGAAAACTGAAAGGTAGCATGTGATGTCTGTGGGGGCGGGGAACAAAAGCTTCATCTGTTCTCTCTGCTCTTCAGCCCCGAAGTGTGGCTTCATCAAGGGGAACGAGAAGATCACGATGGTGCTAGAGAGAGTGAAACCAGAGATAGTCGCTTTTAGAGAGACCATCATCACTGTGAGTGAATCACTGCCGCTCTGAGGGCTGATTGATGCTCTAAGACAGGAACAATATGAGAATGATTTTAAAATGAGGATTAATGCTCTGGGTTCAAACTGCAGGTCACCTGCTGGATTCAGCACCTCATCCCAAAGATAGAGGATGGAAATGACTTCGGAGTTGCCATCCAGGTATACGTCGTCTGTTTAATTGGCTGCTCTTTCATTTTAATTGAATATAAAGCCACTGATTTTAACTTTTGGATTAATGTGATAAAGAAATACGTTGACCTTTAAGGTTTTTTGGGGTTTTTTTAAACCACAGGAGAAAATCTTGGAGAGAATCGCTGCAGTGAGAACCAAAGTCGACGGTTTTCAGACCAACATCAACAAGTAGGTTGGACGTAAATCCTTCTTTAAAGCGCGGCAGCTGCCTTTGTGTCATTTTACTGAGAGTGGAGCCTTTCATCACTACTGTTTAAATCCTCAGGTACTTCACAGAGAGGGGGGATGCTGTGGCCAAAGCTTCTAAGGAAACTCATGTGGTGAGTGATGATCTCTGCCTTTCTGCATTTGAACGCAGACTGCAAACATCGCGCCACAGAGTTCAAACACACTTAGACAACACACCTGCTGTGTTTAGTTCATTCAAATTGAACTCTGGTTTAATTTGCACCCCGTTGCGTTTCTTTTGTGCACACGTGAGCACAGTAATAAAGACCCTTTGGAGGAGGTAGTGTTCCTCCCGTACGGTTCATTTATGTTGTGAATGCACTCTGACCTTAATCTAAACTGCCAGGTGTACGTTGCTAGATAAGCTAAACATCTCCCTGTACCTACATGTGGTTTGCATTCTGGGATGTGGACAAGGTAGACAAAGGTCTGTACAGGTTAGCAACTAGCTATGAAATGAACGTAATCCTCCAGAACACAGCACCTTGTTCCTGTTTGTACTTTTGTCGCTCCCACCCCAGGCACATCTGGCCAATACGGGGACTGAATGTGCTCACGTTTTTGTAATCATGCACTTTGGTTTGTTTGGAGTTCACTTGGATTCTTTTCTGGGTGAAAAGAAGCCAAATCACAGGAAAAAAGCTACAAGTTTGCAAACTCATCAAATGATTCGGACCAAAGTTATAACAAACTATAGGTGTAAAAAAACGCCCTTAAAAATCTTTCTCATATAATAGTTGGAGCAGTGGTTCCCATAGTTTTCTAACATTGTGCATCCTGACCACCACATGGAGCAGAGGAAGTGATGCTGGATGAGTTTTGGGAAATTTTCTTTCAAGTGGAAAGAACAGCTGGATTTAATGCCAGTATCAGATTTGAACAGTATAAAAGGTGGATGACAGCAGCACTTTGAAGTCTCACTTTTAGCATTTTGGCCACCACTGTTAGTTTTTGGCCACCCTTTTGTCCAGACATGCCTGCTAATTACTGTGACATAACAAACTAATTAGATGCCAGAATTTCACGCACCAAAACCCGATCACAGACTTCTTGTCTGTTACACACAGCAAGTCACATTAGTCAGATAACTCTATTCAAAATGGATTAAAGTCAGTAGAAGCAAGACTGAATACATGTGTGGATGAGAGCTGCAAAGGTAAATACGCCGAATATGAGCTTAAAGCCTGAGAGAAGACACAAAGATCTCAGAGATGGATGAACACTAGCTGGTTTTAGTCTTTTTCGTCACTAAACATCCCAACAAGCCTCGAGCCTCGAAGTTTATGACACAAAAAGGAAATATGAAAAATGCCTTTAACTCTTTTTGTTCTGCCCTCAGATGGACTACCGCTCACTCGTACACGAGAAGGACCAGGCCATCTACTCGGATATCAGAGTGATCGTCCTCGACATCCGCGGCTTCTACGTAAGAAGCCTACATTTATATTTCTCCCCAAATACTTTAAACCATGGAAAAAAAATGGATCTTAAATAAAATATTTGAGTTTTTCTAAGATTAAAAAACTGATTTTCAAACAGTTTAATCACTAACAATGTATTTTTAGCTGCTGTAAGTCAATTATTAATCTGCATCTCTGCTTGTTTTCCTCAGGCCGAGCTTTATGACATCATCAGCAAAAACCTGGAGAAGGTGACCAACCCAAAAGGAGAGGAGAAGCCCTCGATGTACTGAGGCTCCCGGGGAACGGGAAAAGCCACTGGGATGAATTTAAACAACCTTCAGCTGCATTGATCACCTGCTAAACTCAATATCAATCAAGTATCCGGCTCTTTGTTTGATAAACATTTAAAATAAACACATAAACAACTGGATGGTATTTTTAGTTCTGCTGTTTCATGGTAACACTTTGGTTTTATACCAAGACTTGCACTAAATTTTAAGTTGTGTGGTAAAGCATGAATAAAGAAAAGTGTTTTTCAGACTGTGTGACATCCTCAGATTTATTTTTAACAAAGAAAAACTTTTCGGCATGTGCACCTCTCATCAGTGAGGAATCTTATTACAAAAATATCTTTCTCATTCAGGATCAGGAGGAAAAACCCAAAGAAAAAACAAGACATCAACAATAATAATTACATAATAAAGTCAGGAACAGCAACACAGGAAGGTTAACCGGCCTCCAGGCATTTATACTTCTGGTCCTTCTCCACCGGGGATGAGCTGCAGAAGAGAAAATATGCAGCCATAAAGCATCCTGTGAAGGTTTAAAACACCGGGGGAGAAGATTATGGGACACAATCAGGCGTTTGTTTGTTTACCATGGTGATGTTATTGCCATTGAGGAGGATCTGGTCGAGCTTGGTTATCCTCCTCCCCTCTGGTGTTATTTCACTGCAACACATTTGTTTATAAATATAGTCAGCGGTGAACCCGAGAAAAGGTGTAGTTAGAGTAAAAATGCAACAGGAGTACTTACAATTCTGTCACATCCTCCAGGACCATGTCTGACACACACAGTTAAAGACAAACTGTACAACAATAAACAGTAAAGAGACATCAAAGTGCAGCTAAAAGCTTTACACAAACGAGCAGGAGGATGTGGAGACGTGCACGTGAGCAGCACCAGCGCCCATCCACAGAAGCCTTTCTACTTCCTATTAATCCCTAATAATTAATTAACTAATTAATGAATTAACTGATGGCCACCAGCGGTACTCCTCATCCTAGTAGACACAACTGTGGTATCAATTCAAAATCCTATGTCCCCTCATTCTCAAGTTATCACATTTACAAGAATTTCACAAAACTTCCTCTGACCTTGAGGACAAGGTCACCGAGATTCAAACTTTTAGAAGATGCACCTATGTTATCAATTTGAAAATCCCAGCTGACGTCCCTCTTAAGTTATCGGATTCACAAACTTGGGTTTCCAAGGTGCCCACTCAGGTGATAATACCCCATCAGACTTTTAAGAGTAAAAATGAAAGAAGCCCTACAGCAGGAGGAACCCAGGCCCCACTGCACCAGAATAAGATCTGACAGCAGAGGGAAATGGTCTGTGGCCACCATCTGCTACACCTGTTGTTACTTTAATTTGCACCAATTTGGCTGAAATAGATTTACCATGGTTTATTACTCCTATCTGGATAGATTGACATGCCTGAAGTTGAACTGTGTTGTAGTGTGATCACTGACTGTTTCCTTAAATTTTTTGATCAGTTTATTTGTCCCTTGTTTGTACAGATCTACACACTTTTTGTGCCAATGGTATTCTGCAACTGTCCTCTCTCACATTTCTAAATAAAACAGAAACAAAAAGTAACACAATAGTTCTCGTACTGCTTCTCATCGCATGGGCTCCACCTGTGAGCATGGATGACTTCAAACAGTCGATGGTGTGTGCAGCACAATACAGTAAGACTTTGTACATTGTTGGCGTTGAGGCGTGCACTAACTCGCTCATCTGGACACGTTTTAATTAAAAGATACTGACGAAGTCATCGAAGCCCAGCAAGGTGCCGACAATTTCTTTGTCAGTTTTCATGACGATGTGAATTCGGGAGCCGATACATTTGTCCACAAGCTCTGCAAAAGGAAACATACAGAGAAATTACACATCCTGTAATTCAGGTGAGTGTTTCTACTTTTTACACTTCACTTACCTACCTACTTTATTAACTGGTGTCTCTCTTTGTTAAGGACTCAACAGTTAACCCTTTGAAATACTATACATTTTTAATAACTAAATAGAATAAAAAAGACGACAATGTAATTTTTAAATTTATTTTGAACATGCCAATAGGGCAATAGACGATAATCCAGTAATCTGTAAATTTTCAGCTAGAAACCTGCCCTCTCTGCCACTTTAATAAACGAAACCAAATAAGAAGCATTTTGTTTGTGCTTGTAGAGAGTAAAGCCGCAACGTTAGCTCCCTACCGGCGTGATGCTAATGCTAACTAGCAAACATCTGCCTACAAAATGATTTTCAGTGAGCCGCGGCTCAAACTGCGGCCGTCGCACGCTGACTCGGAACAACCCAATTTAAACCCACAGACGTCAGGAACAAAACACAGCATCATAGAAATTTTACAAACCGAGCGGGAGCAGCTGCGACGGGTTTGTAGCCGACATGTTCAATCAAGAGACTTCCCTCCACAAAGCCAGAAGTAATCGACAGACGAACAGTAATGGGCCAGCCAGACAAGATCAATCAATCCAGAAGAATTTCGTCTCTGGGGAAACAAAAGAGTCTCCTTTTTAAGAAATTCAAACATTCATGGTTGCAACCAAATATAATACACTTTTTAAAAATTCAAACAAAACACACACCTGAGGGTGATATTAAATTATTCTGTATGTCTCCACACGATGGCGCAAATTGTGTCGAGGAACACATGACATCATTTTTGTGTTTAAAAAGAGAACAGAGCAGAGATCAAGATAATTCACCCCTGTAAAATCTGACCGCGGATATTTATGCTTCATCTCTCCTTGACAGGTGGAATTTAAGGTGACATGCACCTTGTCTATTGAGCGGGAAACACAAGAGCTAAGCTAACTATCTATTTTTTAGATGCAGATTATCCGGACTTTATTCTAGGGAGAGCTGTCTGATAATATCAATGAAATTCCAGATTGAAATGAAGGAAAATATGAAGGAAATGTTAGTCAACTCATTACTTTTTCCACAAGAACTTCAGCCTGATTGCATTTAAAGCCTTTAAACTCATTCTGTCCTGCTTAAGAAAAAACAATACACTCAATATAATTGTTAACTATTATCTAATTATATTATGTTATATTGGTCAACAGCGAATTAAAACTTTAATCTGTCATTTTAATGTTTTTATTATGTTATATTAATAACATTATACAATTGGAAACCTTAGCTAAAAAGTAATTTAATAAGATAGGCAACAAAACAGTTAATCAGTTAAAAGCTAGTAAGCACAACTTAGCTAAATAATTATACTTTACAAGTCTCGATTTTAGTAAAATTAATGTATTTTTGGTTAAGCTAGCTTTAAAGTCTAGATTGACATTTATCTCATTAAACCTGAATTTATTAAGGTAAATTAAATTCAACTGACATTTTATTTTAAGTTGAATTTAATATCAATGCAGACATTTTGAAAACTGTAATAAAACCTTGGCGTTTGTCTGCACACTTAAGAACGTTTTGTCCAAGTAAATGTGCTCCATTGACTCTACTTAACTGAAGACTGTCCTTGGGGAGCAATTAACTGTAAACTTAAATTTCGCTAAGCGAAAACGGAAGTGCGCTGCGGGGAATGCTCTTGCCCATTTGGCCAGTGGGGACTAAGCGGAAGAGAAAATCATCTCTGCTGTGCTGCTGTCTGTCTGTCACATATTCAGGGAGATATAGACAGAAAAGTCGGCCTCGGTTAGCTGTGTTTACATCCAATTCCGGAGCTAAAACAACGCTAGACTGCGGGTACAGGAGCGGGGATGGAGCCTCAGGGCAGAGACGAAGGGAAGGGGCCGGTGCTGCACATCGTGGTGGTTGGATTTCACCACAAAAAAGGCTGCCAGGTACGTGAACCCCTGCTTCCAGCTAACATCGGCTAACTGCTAACCGAGTCCTCACATCGAGTTGACATAAAGGTGCATTTTCACTAAACTTCTGTACGGTACGAGTGTCAGCTTACGTGTCTATTATGCTCTTGTTTTTTTAAACAGCGCATGCACAGTCCTGCAGTAATGCGGACATTTCTAAACATAAAAACAGTAAAAACTACAGACTTCTCACTGCCTGGCTTCCCTGTCAGGTAAGAGGGGTTAAGATCAGCTGTTTGCTGTGGGCTCACAGGGTTATATAACACCAGCCCTGCTGCCAACAGTTCAGTGTTTTCATCACAGGCTGCAGCATACTCATCATCACTGCTCCTGGACCCTGCTTGTATCTGGGTATGCACAAAAATGGAGCAACAAGCCGATTAATCAATCAGTTCAGGTTTTCTTTGAGCTGTTTAGAAACATTTTCTTGGTCTCATGTCATTGTTTACTTAATATTTAGGGTCTTTTGGTCAAAAGAAGACACTTGAAACTGTCACTATTATAGGAGTTGTTGTTTAAAAGTGAAAAATATGTTTTGTGCCCAGCTGACAAGACAGACAGAAGGCATTACTGACTCATTATTCTAGGACAGCACTTGAGCAGATTTGCATGCTAAAAAGTTTTAAAAACTCCTGCTCGATCTTGCACTGGCCCTTTACAGGACTGGTTAGTTTATCCTCTGCCTGAAACAAAGTCTCTCTTTAAAGAGCCCCTTCCGTTTAAGTCTGCTGTTTCTTGATTGGCTAACTTCTAGAAGCTTGCTGAGGGGCAGTAGCACTCAGTGTTTACCTTTTTATTTTATTTTTTTTATCTTTTTAAGGATTTTTACTACATATGAAACTTTGGCCCTCCAACGGGGAGGTTTACAAGATTTCACATTTGTAGCAGTTGTTTAATTGTGAAAATAATTTGTCTGACAAATCATCACCTAAGACCAAACTCTGTGTGGCCGTTAATGTAAAGTGAGCTTAACACCCTGCTTTACTCATTCTAATTTTCTCTCACATTGTTGTTTTGTTCTTCTTCTTCTGCTGCTGATTCAAATTTCATTAAATGTGCAGTTACACACTGAACTTCCTCCTCCTCCTCAGTGGTGGTGGTGTTGTTGTCTCCGCTCTCCATCTGTTTTTCTTTCTGCGGTTTTGCAAACAGCTGCTGCTCAAGCACAAAGATAAAACAGCAGTTCTCCTGATGTAAAGATGAGACCAGAGCCCCGATAAAGCACCCAGTGTGCAGTCTTTGTTGCCTTTAATGGGCCTGCACTCGGGGATGGAGGTGGTGGAGGTTATCGGATAAGGGTCAGCGATCTCCTGCTGGGCGGCACAAGATTGGGTTCCTGGCTCTTTAATCCGTTTCTCTGCCTCTCTTTCACAACCGCCCTCCTCCTCTTATTCACCTGCTGTCCATCTGCTTGCCTGGCAGGATTTCGAGGCCTTTTACATGTATTTTTTATTGGAAACCTTAATCAGTGATGCAGCAGGAACATCCATCACACAGAAATATGTTTACTTATGTTTTCCCACTTACTTTTAAGCATGTAAACACAAATAAAAATGCACAAATGAGCCTGATAAAGGCATTGAAAGTTTTTTAATTCCTTGCATCTGCAAAGTTTATTTTTAACAGTACATTAAGAAACATTGGCACATACATTAAAAATCTGCACCCTAACATGTTTTGCAGTTGGCTTAGTTTGTTTGTTTGGAGGATTACATAGTAATTCATGGACAGATTTGCATGAAAATGCCACAAAATGTGGAGCTCGGTCCAAATTAGACATTTCATCCATAGACACAAACGATTATTTTGATAGTCGACTAGTCACCGATTATTTTTGCGATTAGTCGACTAATCAGATCATCATCCATTGGACGTAAAAGATGCATCTTATTGCACCAGCGTCTGCTCTTATATAACTATCATTAGCTTACAGCTTGAAGTGTTTAAGGTCTGTGCTAACTAAAAATAAAGACAAGATGATAGTTTATTAAACTGTTAATGAAATTTGCAGATTGTCTCAGTGAAGTTTAATAATAAACTCAGCCGTCTGCTCCTTGCTGTCTAAGATATAACAGGACATTGGAGTAAATTCTCGACCATCTCACACTTCTGTTCAATCAGTTTTCTGCGTGTCGTTTATTCAGCTGTGTGAAAACTGTAATCTAACTTTAATCTTTAAGCAGTTGTCTCTTCCACTTGTGCGGGTCCGCTGTTTTTGTTTTTCAATTGCATTTGAATGAACTCATTCTTTGTAGTTAAATTACTTTACTTCTCTCTCATTACTTCACGAGTAAGGAAATGTGATGTGTATATGAAACTTTCTAAGGTACACTTAAGTCACTGTTGCTGAGCGTTAGTAATTCAAGTGCTTTCACATATGGGAACCTCAATTAGGACCCGACTCAGTAGAGAAAGGAGCAAAGCTGATTAAACGAGCTGGAGACATGCCGTTCTCTTTCTCTTGTCATTAGAATTAAGTTTGATTACCTGATAGTACTGCTGTTTCTGTGTGCGGCAGTGCGAAGTGATGCTAGGAGCTGGTTTTGAGCTCCTCCCCCGAGGTCTCCTCACCTTGGAGGCATCTGGGTCAAATGCCTGAATGTCATATATCCTCCTGATGTGGAGGAACAGCTCTACACTCTTTCGGTCTCTACCCACAGCTTGTGGCTGCTGGTGAGGGTGTGAATGTTGGCCGACCAGTAAATCACCTGGAAAGTGTTGTTGGGATAAACTCAATTATCCTGAATAACACATTTGGCCAGATTTTGGAATAACTGGACAAAAAGTTTGGACAGAAATATTTGAAAAGGTGTGGGAAACATCTGTTTCAAACTTTTTTTTACATTTATTGGGTCTTCAGTGTTCTTCACATTGAGATGTTGTTGTTGTTGTTTTGTTATTGACTGCCCCCATGAGTCTACTCTTAATCCAAAGCCTTCTCTGATTTAGTTGGATCTCTTTTTGCCACTCCAGTGACACCAAGTTGGCTTGAGGAGAGTGATTGCTCATAAATCCTCTGCTTCCAGGATGTGCATGGTATTTGCTTTGCAGGCCTGTTTCTAGGCTATTCCTCTGCACCATCAGTTTCATTGGGATAATGTTCTAGGCGGCCTTTGACACTACAGTTGTGGTTGAGTTTTGCTTCGGACGGTTTCCTGTCTGAGTGAAATGATCGAGCCATTATAGCAGCTGGCTGAATTCTCACATTACGAATAACTCCTATGGCAGAAGGGACACTGCTATTAACGGAAAGACGGTAATAGCGTGCACCGTCCAACTAAACAGGAAAATTAATGATCAACATGATGTAAATTGCTGCTGCTGTGTCTTCCACTGCATACCATAACTTTCTAATAGGCAGATGCATTTGTAACTTTAGATTTTCATTTTAAGCCCACATGCAAACTACAGATGTTACACTATGACAATAAAATCTGGTTTCTATAAATTACTTTCATTTTGTGAAGCACTTTGCAAGCCACGTCTTTCTTTTTAACTCCAACTGCTGTAGTAAAGTGATGTTTTTTACCACATTGTCTACCTTTACCCTTCCAAACAGATGTGGCGTAGGAAGATTTATTACTTTAGAGGCCTTAAAGCAGGTACTTAATACACAAACGGCTCATAATTAGTGATATTAGATTTTAGAATATGTGTCCCAGATACAGGAAACAGTATAACTATGATAAACACAATTAGAGCCGTTAGAGAAGCATCCCTGTATAAATTTATTATGATTACATCCACTAAAATACCTCAGTGAAGCATCACAGTAAGAAGACGTGGCAAACTGCACCTCCTGCACCTCATTAAGTTTTCATTTGAGGTGAGGGTAAAATGATTAGGAAATTTTCCACGACTTCAAACTGACAAACGTCCTCATTTGTATTCAGTCTGTTCGCAGATTACCCGTGTGAGCTAAAACAGCCTAAATGAGGTGTTATTCTTTCTCCGTTCTTTCCTCAGGTCGAATTTTCTTACCCGCCGCTGATGCCAGACGAGGGTCATGACAGCAACCTGCTCCCAGAAGAGTGGAAGTACCTCCCGTTCCTGGCTCTTCCTGACGGAGCTCACAACTACCAGGAGGGTACGGCACAAACTCACTTTGTAATTAAGTCTTATGAAGTCTTACAAAGATCCCAGTGTTACTTCATTTGCAGAGTGCTGACAGATTGTTTACAAATGGAGCATTTTTCTGCTGAGACTTCAAACGTGCTTTTGAAGCTTGAAGTTTTGCTTATGGGCCTGTGTAGAGTTTTCATGTTCTCCACTTGTCTCAAGGTACTCGAGCTTCCTAGCACAGCCCAAAGACGTGTGTTACAGTCACTGGTTATGTGAATGTGAACACGAATAGTTGTTTATCTCTTTGTGTCAGTCCTCTGTTTGTTGGACGGGCTGTACCACGAAGCAGGCCGTAATATTCATCAAAAGGCATCAAATTTCTGACAAGATTTTGTGTGAATAAAGTGCTAAAACGTTAATAATTGGAGGCCTCAGATACCTGGCTGGTTATTATGCCAATAAAACAGGGTTTAAATCACTGTTATTGAAGTTTTTTCTTGAGTTTTCAAAGTGTGGGAATGAGTCAGCAGGTGCTTCTCACACAGGTGATAAAATCATGATTGTCCTCCGGTGATTTTAAAAGGCTGGTGTCACTTCTGTAAACAGAGAGGTGGGTGTGAGCGATAGTGAGTGACTCGCCTGTTGTGGCTGCGGTCATGTGACGGGCCCGTGCTTCACGCTGACCTGTGAAGGCAAATAGCAGGAACCGAGCCAAGGTTCATATCTGTAGTTTCAACTTCAAAAACTACACTCATCAGCATGGAGAGGACAGTTCTCACTTCCTGCTCAGAGCTGTCAGCTGTTTGTTGGTCAGCTCGGTGATTCAGCAGTGAAAAAACGAGGGCTTCATGTAACAGAGACTGCTGTTACACCAAGAGACTGATTAGTAAAAGTATCCAGGATATTAAGGAACAGCTTGCAATAATACACCATTTAATTTAGTGAGTCATGTTTCTGGACTTCAGTTTTCATCACTTTTTAAGGGCTGAAAAACCCGGATTTGGATTCTGGGGTCACTTGCTTTACTTTAATATTAAATATCATTAGAAACTGCTTTGTTAGGTTTATTGAAATATGGTCTGGATAAAAATAGAATTGTTATTTTTTCCCAAGTCGAGGGCTGGGGAGGCGCATCCCCTTTGAAATATGTTTAATAAAATAACATTTTAAGTAGTATGCAGATATCTGCAGACTGGGCTAGGACCATTGCTGCAACATAACTGGGTGTATTTACTCAGATTTGTCATGCAGCATATTACACACGTGACTCACATGTGAAAAATCCCCAGTTTGCGACTGGGAGGAGACATAAACACAACCTCAGGGCTCAAAAGTTGGTGCCAGGCCCAAGCCCAAATAAATGGGTGAGTTGTATCAGAAAGGCATTTGTACTTCATCAAACATGCGGGTGTTGCTTTCTGCTTTACTGAAGTACAGCTTTAATATACTTTTGATGTTTTTCTTTCTTATTATACTTTCATCTTCTACTTTTTTCTATTACATTTTTGGAAGCAAATACTGTAATTTGGCACAGTGGTGTAGTGGTCAGTAGTCAGCACTGATGCATCACAGCCAGGAGGCTGGAGCCCTGAATGTTTTCTCCAGATACTCTGACGTCCTCCCGCAGTCCAAAGGCGTGTAATAAATAATGGATGAATGTATGATTAAATTTGGCTTTCCTAAACTGGCCAGCAGTATCTAAAGTAATTACAATCATCTCCAGCTGCAGCTTTAATGAATCAATAAGTATTATCCAGTAATAATGTACATAGAGCTGCAAAATGAGTAAATAATGCTCATTGCTGCATGAGCCTTGAGAGTTTACACTGGTGCTATGTCTGATCAATTATTCTGACTTCCTGTGAGCCCCCCTGCTGTCCCCCCGAGTCTAAAAAGTCTCCCTTGAATACATATCAGCCTGAGCTCCACTCGCACAGTTTTCACTGTAGAGAAATCTCTGTGGATCGGTTCCTTTGTTGCCTCCAGCGTGTTGCGAACTGATTAAGAAACAACAGCGGCTGCTTCTGTGAAACACTAAAAGCAAACAGGGAGTCTCCTGCACATGTTTGGCACTGGAAAATCACCAGTCTCATAAAACTATTTCAAAGCAGTTTTCTTAAGCTATCGCATCCTCGCACAGGTGATCCACTCAGTAAAAAAGAAAGATGGTGATCTAGTGGAGCAGAATCTGCTGTGTTGAGCAGAGACATGAGAGCTGGATCCTGGCATATCAGGGCTGCTTGGTTGGGTTTGACGTACGGAGAGTGTGGCCTCTGCCCAGATGCCCCCGCCGTTGCCTCTTCTTTAATCTGTGACGTCCACAGTCTAACCTTTTGTGACCCCACTGTCGTCTTGTTCAGAGGAAATACTAGTCACGTTGTGAAATCCTCCTCAGCCCCCCTCCTCAGACTGAATGAACGGTTGAGCCCTGAAGTTTTATTCGAGTCTCTTCCTTTCCCCCCCATCTTCTTAATGACAGAGGACAGCTGTCGTGTCGCTGCAGTTTCTAATCTTTGTGCTTTTGATTGATGACTGACGTTGTTTCTATATTGGTAAATATCTCCCAGTGAGTGTAGAAGAGGAATCAGGTTGTAAAGCACATGATTTTTGGACTCCCAGTCCAAACCTCTCAGTAATGAGAATTTCTCCTTTTGAATTCCTTATTCTTCACTGTACATAAACCATAATCATAATGATTTATCTTGGGGTTTTTTGTTGGGTGAATTTATGTGTTTTTGAAGTTCTCTTCTGCTAATTTTGAAAAGCATTTTTTTAAATGTGTTTTTTGGGAAGCAAAACGCTTGAGATGCCTTCATAAACAAGTTTTTAAATGCTTAAAAGGATGATGGGAATTTGGACGTCTAGTGCAGCAAAGATTTTATTTGTTCAAATGTCCAGAGTGTCCCTGAATGCACCGAAATAGTTCAACGTGATTCTCAAATGCAGTCATCCTTCATTTATTGTTTCTGGCCATTAAAAAATTGCTGATTCCAAAACTGTTGATACTCAGCTCTCAGTAGCCCTAAAATGTTTATTGATTGTTGTTTAATAAAACAATTATCAAAGAACTCTCAATGTAAAATAGATGTAATATTCAGTGTTAGAGCCGTGCCTCTCTCAGCTGGAACACTTAATCTGTTTCATTCTGTGGTGTCCAATTAGATGGCAGGAAATCCATCCAATGTACAATGTACTCTGCAAAATACTGCAACAAAAATTGTGTTTGAAGAAAACAAGACAAAACGCAGCACAATGAATAAGCATTTCTGTCTAATATGCTTTTTTTTTCCTTGCGAGAGTGGCGTTAACTGATTATTGAAATATTAAAATGACTGTTGTACCCTCTGATACGACTCTCTGAATCTTGGAGCAGATATTGAGACTCATCAGATGCAGCCATGTTTTTCCAGTCTCTTAGGGTCGAGTTTTTGTGAGCTTTCGTAGCTTCAGTTTCCTGTTGTTAGCTGACAGGAGTCACACCCACTGTGGGCTTCTGCTGCTGTTTACATCGTCAGAGATGCTCTTTTGCATACAATACCACATTCAGTGCCACTCGAATTGCCTTTCTTCCTCTTTCCGATGTTCAGTTTGAACTTCTGCTGGTTGTCTCAACTGTGTCCTCATGCTTCCATGTGATTGGCTGATGGGATATGTGCAGGTGTCTGTCTTGTAAAGCCGGTTCTGAATTTCTTAAACGTTGCTTCTGATGAACTAAAAGTAAAACTTAAAGCAAACATTTTTAAACAGAGTGTAAACTGCACAAACTCTTACTCGTGACTTGTGAGCTGTAGTTAATCTGAACATGAAGAACGCCTTTTTTTTCTTTTCTTTTTTCCAGATATCATCAAGCAACTTGTAAATGTTTGCTTCTGCCTTCAAGTTTATCCAGTTTGGCAGCTGGTCTGAAAACCTGCCGTCAGTCACTGCAATTCCACAAACACTCTTTATCTAAACTTACTGGTTTTTATTGTATTGATGGTCTTTGCTGAATCTGCTGTTTTACCACAGAAAATGCATATCAGTCTCATCTAACTGCACACAAGTGATTTTTCTCATGCTGTTTATTCTTTTCTTTCTGCCCTTTAGCACGTAGTATAATAATGTGATTGTGTCTTTTTGTTGGTTTGCAGACACGGTGTATTTTCACCTGCCGCCTCTCAGTGGAGACACAAAGTGTGTCTATGGAGTGTCCTGTTATCGTCAAATAGAAGCAAAGGTCAGTTTATGAACAGCAATACGCACACTTTAATGAGCAGGCACCTATGTGCAGCAGCTCTATGACAGAAAGCTACGCCCATGACATGGGTGGGGAACCAGGCAGTTTATGTAAATATATTTTTTAATTTTACTGATTTTGTAAGAGCCTGGTAGGATGTCATTTGCAGCTACTGCTAAAAGGTGTTTGCAAGGTTTGAAATGTGCCTTAAACTTCCCCATTTCTTTAATAGCCACCGAGGTTGATTATTTCTGTTTTCTTTGTATTATTGAAGGGTTTTACCTTACAGTATAAAGCACCTTGAGGCCACTGTTGTTGTGATTTGGCACAAGACAAATACAATTGAATAGAATTGAATTGCCTCGTCCCAAAAGCAAGAGTAGTTCCTGAAAGAAAGAGGTGTTTTAGTTCCAGGAGAAAAAGATGCCATTGTGATCAAGTGGCTAAAACTAGAGACGGAGCTGCTACGTTTGCAGGAAAAGGGTGACGTGAAGTGTGATGATCACCACTGTAAGTGAGGTCTGTAGTTTCACATTTAATAACTTCAAACATTTGGGACCCTTGCATCTCACATGGTAGAGCTGTGGACCATCCCAGATCGTATCACACTCTCTTCTCAATTTCCCTTTCTGCTCTAAGCCGTACTTCCTAATAATGGTAGCCATGGTACCTTAACCCTAGCGGCCTGTTGGCTATTATTGTCATTATAGGATGTAAATGTGCATTATTAGGTTTCTGCATTTGCTTCACTTTTCAGACCCAAAGCTGTGTCTGTTGTTTGCATTGAGTCTAGTGAAACTGACCCAAACCTTTTGCGCTGTAACTGCAGCATCAATTTAAAGCCGAGCTTACAGAGGGAAGTTTATTTCACGATTGTTTTTTCTTGCTCGCCTTTCAGGCCCTAAAGGTCCGGCAGGCTGATGTCACCAGGGAGACTGTTCAGAAGAGCGTCTGTGTCCTCAGTCGAGTGGTGAGTCAGTCACTGGATGACTTAATTTAATAAGCTTTAATTTCAGTCTAAAAATTAAATTAAGTCAGTGGGCCGTAAAATGTTGCAGTGAGCTCACATGGAGAAGTGGAAGGAAATCGTGTAGAGAGGATGTTTTTATTTCCCGGCACTGCGGCCTCCTCACTGTCTGCTGATCTATATGTGTCACCATTGAGAATTAATTCATAATGTTTCATGTTTTACCCTTAAATCTTTTGGCTTTATAAGAAACTTCAGTTTCTTATGAGGTAATATTCAGAGGCAAACCAGGGTATTCCTTTTTCCCCCCCCATACATAGGAATAAATAATTTAACATCATTTACAGGGATTCATTGAGGGGGCAAAACACTGTTTTTCCCAGAAAAAGCGTATCAGCATCCCCTTGTCCCTGTTGGGATTTCCACACATGGTTATGTTGCTATGACAATACAATTTTAGGGAGGGGACCACAGGCCCTGTTTTAGCAGTGCCAACTGTAGAGTGGGGGAGAAAAACAGAGGCAGGAGGAAAAGCATCAAGACAAAGGATGTCGCCACCCATGCTAAATAAATATAAAGCAGAAATTAGCCTGACAGGATTTTTATGGGTCACACTGTAAATGACTCACTCACGTACGGTGTGTTTGAATTTCCTCGCAGCCTCTCTACGGTCTGCTCCAAGCCAAACTTCAGCTCATCACACACGCCTACTTCGAGGAGAAAGACTTCTCACAGATCTCAATCCTGAAGGTGAGAAAACAGTCAGACTAAACCTGTTTGAGTGAGGTAGTAGTATTTGTACCTTCCGGTCAGCTGCTTGCTCACCTCCTGTTTTCGCTGCAGGAACTGTACGACCACATGAACAGCTCTCTGAGGGGCTCAGCTCTGGACGGATCACAGGTTTATCTAGGTACGTGCCAGATCTGTCGGATAACAGGAGGGTTTAACAACAAATCTCAGCTTTTATTTGTCCTTTTCATAAACATTTTGTTTTTCTCCCATCAGGGATGTCGCCGAGAGATCTAATCCTGCACTTCAGACACAAGGTGGGGAAAATCTGATTACTTTAAGCACTGAAATCCACCCAAAATATCCTGTTTATTTACATTTTTTATTTTTAAATCTTTGCAGGCTCTCATCCTCTTTAAGCTCATTTTGCTGGAAAAGAAGGTGAGAATTCAAACTTTGATGCATCCTTCCCCTTTTCTTCATATAATCTGGTAATTTTGAGGTATGGTTCTGTCAGTCCTGGCTCTAAGAGAAGACGAGGCCTCTATGATGTGGCTCTTTTAGCTCATCTTCCCGATGACCCCTTTCAGTCCCTTTCAGGTATAAGCGAGTCCTGACCCAGTTTTTCTGGACAAACATTTCCACCATATTTGCTCTAAATATAACCATATAATGTTAATGTATACTTGGGATTCAGATATTGATCAGTGTGCTTTTTAAGTTGAGTGGTGCTCAGTATTGGCAGATAACCACAGTCTTACCCACGCCTTCCCTCTTCCTTGCAGGCAAATCTGCCCAAGTTACTTTAAACTTGCAACATTTTTCTTTCTAAAAGTCTCCAAACCTGATGTCCGAGATCAGACATACAAATCTTTTTAGGCATCCATATTCATAGACCCATCACACCGGATATTTATCCTAAAACGTTTAAAGGATCGAGCTCAGGTAGTTTTCCAGTTTGCCTTGACAGCAGAGACCTGAAGTTTTGCACAGTTTCTATTAAGAAACGTCTACTGGAAGCTTTTAGCCACTGTGAATTGGCATGGGATGACCCTTTGGCTCCTTTATTAATTGTATTAGTCTTTTATACACTTATAGATCCTGTTAAATTCTGTGTGTCTCGTCCATTTTTAAATATTTAATGATCTTAGTTGCTGTGAAGTCCACCCTCCATTATTTGACTTAATACATTTTTAAGGCTGATTCCATTACTGCCATTTAAGTCCTGTTAAATTGTTGATCTGTGAATGCGATTTACTCGTGTGTGCGTGTGTGTGTGTGTGTGTGTGTGTGTGTGTGTGTGTGTTAGTTGTGTTTTTAAAAACGTTTTTCTGCTGTTTTGCCTTCATGTCTCACTTCTTATTCTGTCTGCTCATCCATTTTGTTCCTCTTTTCTTTCCTTCTTCTTGCTCATGTTTGCAGGTCCTGTTCTATGTGTCTCCTGTCAACAGACTAGTAGGAGCTCTGATGACAGTGTTATCGCTGTTTCCAGGTCAGTAACTCCAAGAGGAAGACAGATCTGGCACTGATCTTTTGAATCAGGGCTTTGTGACACCCGGCACAGGAGTTCTCTAATAAAACTGTTTGTGTTGTTTTTGTGTTTTGGATTCTTGTTTCATTTTATTGATTATTTTGTTCCAGTTTTGACTTTATGCTCATTCTGGGGATTATTTTCGTTTTTGGCTAACTGTTAGGCATATGACACATTCATGTTATGCAAACCTGTCCTGCAAATATCTTTGTGCTCTTCCAGTGTGAAAGGCTTTGCAGCCTGTGGTGCAATTGTAGTAGTAAAGTGATAGAACGTGTTTGCTGTGACATTCGTGCAGGCATGATCGAACACGGCCTGGTGGACTCGTCCCACTACAGACCTAAGAGCAGCGTGTCGGAGGACCAGAGTTTAGTGGAGAGTGTCTCGGGTGCCGAAGAGTTCGTCTCTGTGTCTGTCACCGACATCGATAGCTCCGCCCTTGACCTCGGGGTGGAGACGGCCCAGCCTGCCACAGAATCCTCTGGGAATAGCTCAGAGGGCGACAATCACCACCTCAAGCCGCCCTCACGCATCTCTCCCGAGTCCTCCGAGAGCGAGTGGGAGACTCTGGACCCCAGCGTGCTGGACGAAGGTGGACCGCAAGAGGCACCTTCTGAGACTGAGCCAGAGCTCCCGGAAACATTTGACTCCAAACCCGGAACGCCGATCACAGTGCAGCCGCAGGCAGTCACCGGTCAGGGAGGGGTCACCCAGGGCCTGGTGTCAGGTCTGGAGGAGGATCAGTACGGCCTGCCACTCGCCATCTTCACTAAGGTAACAGCAGCGATTAATACTTCTGTTAAAAATTCTGTTTCCTTTGAATTGGTGCAACCCTCAGACCTAAATCTGAGAGGACTGTTGCCGATTGCCGTCTTCTTGTGAGTCTTTTCTGAAGTTTTCTGCGTGACCCTGATTGCACCTGTTCCTGTTTCACCTTTTTGATTAGAAATGTCTTCTTGACAAAACTTTATAATTTATCAATATTGTTTAATAATTAACCATTAAAATCTCAGCTCAGACAGCTGGGTGGAGACAAGCAGGTGTACGGCTGTCATAAACACAGCGGCCTTTGTCTTTTCTTGTTTCCAGGGTTACCTGTGCCTGCCCTACATGGCGCTGCAGCAGCATCACCTCCTGTCAGACGTGACGGTGCGAGGCTTTGTCGCCGGAGCAACCAACATCCTCTTCCGTCAGCAGAGGCACCTCAGTGACGCCATCGTCGAAGTAAGTCCCGTGTGTGTGAAACTGTTGTGTTAACTTTTTAAAATGTAAGTATTAAAATTTTTTTTTAATACTTCACTGCTTCAGGTGGAAGAAGCTCGTATCCAGATCCAAGACCCCGAGCTCAGAAAGATGTTGAGTCTGACCACTGCAGACCTGCGCTTCGCCGACTACTTGGTCAAACACGTGACGGAGAACCGCGACGATGTCTTCCTGGACGGGACAGGCTGGGAGGGTGGAGACGAGTGGATCAGAGCCCAGTTCACCCTCTACCTTCACTCCTTACTGTCTTCTGCATTACAGCAAGGTAAGACAATCAAAACTGTTCACAATAAATGTGTAAAATAAACACATAGAAAGGCTCTTACAAGCAATCACATGCTTCCATAAAACACATGTGGGAGCTTGTAAGCATTTAGAAATGGACGGGGCGTTTATATTAAGTTTAATGTCTTCAACTAAATCACAACAGACAGAATAATGTGTGAAAAAGAGACAAGACGAGCGGGATAAATAAATCTATCCTGCTTTTCTAGCTGTTTCCACATCTGATAGTTGGTTTTAACTTTATTTCCAACTAGTACAACTTAAAAAAACCCCATAAAGCTCTCATCCTGTTTAGATGCCTTACTAGTCAGGATTGGCGCTGCCATATTGCATGTAACTGATGTCTTTGTTTCCCATCTCTTCCTTTCAGATAGCGAGCGGCTGCTGGCAGATTACGGGGCACCTTTCGTCACAGCGTGGAAGATCACCCACAACTACCGGGTGTGGTACAGCAACAAGCACCCCGGCATGACCGCCGTCACCCCAGGGTAGGTGGACAGGAGAGCCACTGACTTCTGTTACCTGCAGCTTTTGAATGTTTCATATTTGTTTTTCATGATCCCATCTTCTCCGTTGTAGACATCCGTTCCAGGGTCAGTACAGCGTAGCCGACGTAAAGCTACGACTCTCACAGTGAGTGCAATTTCATGTTATCTTATTATTATTTTCTTTTTCTTCTAAAAATCAGGGATTTGTATCTAGTTTTAATAGCAGATAAGATGCAGGGTGAAGCTTCACCCCATCGCTTGTTTTCTGCAGCTCAGAGCGTGTATGTTGCTGCCCTCTAGTGGTGGTTAGAAGAAGTCAAAGCTGCAGCAGCAGAGGGAGTAAGAGAGTATGGGGCTCCTGTCTTTAAAGCCTTGCTTAAAGACTATCTGCAGAACTTTCCCTCTTTATTAAACCAAACACAGAGTTTGTAAAGTGACACCTGCAGGATGCAGGAGTACTCATTGTGAGACCTTGCCCCGCCTTGACCTTAGTTGTCAAGTGGTCCCACGAAACCTTGGCTGATTGTGACGCACACCTATTTTCACACCTTGGCTTGTGTTATTAGGTACAAGATCAATAGGGGGTCCATAGCTGGACTCCCTTAAGGTGTAATAGACCTCCCACCCACTCCATGACATGCTGGTCAGTCACAGGAGCACGTTCAGTGAGAGACTGAGAGTACCAAAAAGCACCACTGAACCCAATGTAACCAAAATAATTTTCCCTAAGGATCAATAAAATATTCTGATTCTGATGACCCTCTGAGGGACACTCCCAATAGGGCTTAGAAATCTGGGACTCTCCACCAGTTCCTCTCTGAACTGAAGAAGCTTCTCGGATGAGAGGTGAAATGAAACTTGAACAAGTCCAGACGCTTTTCTTTCCAAGCTACTAAGACTACGATGACCTTAATGACTGAGAACCTTCAGACATGTTTTGTTAGTACTAAGCTCTGCATTCAACACTGTTGACAGTTATATTATGCATATATGCTGAGATACTGGGCGGGTGTATCAGGGTCTGCCTAGGAGTGGTTCTCTTCTGTGCGTGCTTCAGGTCTTCTTCCACTTGTCTTCTCAACGATGTGATACAAGATCCCCCCACCCCCCCCACCCCCCCCACCCCAGGCACATTCTGAGCATTTTTAAGATAAGTTCTCCTTGTTTGTTCCCCCTGCCAGACGGTTTTTTTTTCTTCTTAAGGTACCACTTTAGGTATCCTTCCCACTTTTGCTAAATCCTCTAGCTTTTACTTTGAAGGAGCTGTCTAATTTTTAACACATGCAAAAGTTGATATATTTGTACCGTAAAGATCTTGACAGTTTATTTTTAAAAAGGGCCAAAGTTACAAATAATGATGCCAGCGTTTGTGTAGGTAAACCCTATGAGCCAAAGGTTCAGGCTTCAGATTCCTCTAAACGCAGTTTCAGTGTTTTCTACTGTTGGCTCTGTAATGTCACAATGAGGGGTTATCAGTTTTTTTTCAGACGGGCAATAATATGAGAGTCTGCACCAAGGCCCAGTAAAATATAAATAAAGTTAATTTGAACTTTGAATCATGCAATTGTTACTCTAAAAAAAGTCCAAGGATGAAAATATGGAGCTGGAAATGGTAAAACAGTGTTTGCTTAAAATGCCAAATGAAGTAAAAATAAGTCAAAATATGGGAGATTGAGAGTCCCAGCTCTGAAGAATGTGTTTTTAAAATTTTAGCGTCTGTTTTTAGACCCACTGATGATTAAATTTCCAATGGCTGTCAGGCTCAGTGCACCCAAACACCCCAGCTGTGAATACTTTATGAATACAGTATATGACAAGGAGCAGCAGGCAGCGCGTCGCTTGGATGGATATAGCAGCTCAGCGGTCAGAGTCGTCTCGGGTCGGGGGTTGCGGTGGCAGCGAGGGTCTCATATCAGCCGGAGTCATTAATTATGAGTGAGTTTCATTCTCAAAAACGGAGCCAGAGACTTCTTCAGCCTCAGCTCCAGTTTCATTCCAGGAAGTGTGGATGAAAGGCGACTCCGTCCACAGCTGGAGTGCCGCGTCTAGTGTTGCGCTTCAGATAAATGCCTTCCCACCACAAACACACACACACACACACACACACACACAC